TTTTTAAATAAAATTTGTATTTTTTTTCTTTTAACATCATTTTTTTGATAAAGTACCTTTTTTATTATTAAGAAATTTCTATTTTTTTTTTCTTAAAGTGCGCGTGATTTCATTTTTATTATTAAGAAATTTCATTTTTTTCTTTTTTTTTTTTTGCAAAGGGGATAAAAATAAAAATTCCAAAGCCAAAGCTTAACGAATTTGTATGTGTGTGTGTATATATATATCATTTAGTATTCAAGTATCGCGTGCCATGGATTTATTCGAGGAATTCGAGCCGTTCTTTAATTCTTGATTCGAGTTCATGAAAACCCCCATGTGAGAGTGTGTTTTCTATAAAAGGGCCGAGATACATCACGTTGTTATAAGTTGTTCGCTTCTGCTTTTAAGATTGTGTGTGTGTATCACAATATCATCGTATATATAAAAGCAGTCTCCCAATCGGGCGTCGAAGTCGCCCACCGGAACAACCTGCCGGGTGACTTCAACGAGCCGTCATGCGAAAAATCCCAGGAACAGATTTTATTTTTATTTTAAAAAATTTCATTACAAAACACACACACACACACGACTTTAAATTCTTTACATTATTAATTTCGTTCATTGGAAAATTAATAAATTAAAAATTATTTTTATTCAAGTTAGCGAAATAAATTTTTTTGTCAAACTTCTTTTCATTATATCTTTTATTAATATTACTATTATTGTTATTAATTAATTAATTATTATTAATTTTTCCAAACTATACAGAAATTTATTTAAAGACAATTTATTTGGTTCAAGTAAAAATTATTTAATAGAAGTAAATATTTATTTGATAATAGTAAAGTATACGATAGAAAAGGAATATAAGTATTTTTTATTTGTTTTTAGTTAAAAAAAAAAATTTTGTTTTTTCTTTTTTAGGAAATTGATAAAAATTAAAAGGGAATAATGGAAAATTATATTTTCCTTCATCTACTCGCGATATCAACTTCCTGCATTTTTCCCTACACCCACACAATATCTCAAAAAAAAAAAAATAAAGTCTATTTTTTGTGTGCGATTATACTTTTTTTTTTTAATAATTACAATAAAAAAAAATTTTTTTGAAACGATAAATAAAAATAAATTCCCTCTTTAAATGTTATTCAACAGTAGAAAAATTGCAAAAACTTTTCAAAATAAAAAAACAACAAAATAATTGTAAAATAAAATAAAATTCCCAATAAAGTAATATAAAATAATAATAAATAATATTAATTAATTGTTATTAATCTTAAACAATAATTTCTTATTATTAATAAGGAATAATAATAGTTACTTAATTATTAATAATTAATTAATAATTAATAAATAATTAATAATTAATAAATAATTAATAATTAATTAATAATAATTGCTTAATTAGGTAGGAATAATTATTAATAATAATAATTGCTTAATTATTAATAATTAATTAATAATTATTAATAATAATAATTACTTAATTATTATTATATTAACACAGAAAATTAAAAGGCATTAAAATAAGCTGCAACGCTTATTATTTTAATCCAATTTTGCTTACTTTAATCCATTTTGGTATTAAAATAAGCAAAATTGGATTAAAATAATAAGCGTTGAAGCTTATTTTAATGCCTTTTAATTTTCTATGAAAATTTACTGCACGAGAAATAAACAAATTTTTATTATCATTAATAAACATTCCTCAATAGTGAAACTATTATTTATTAATTAATTATTAATTATTTATTAATACTAATTAATGTAGTATTATTATTTAGTTATTAATTATTAATAATAAATTAATTATAACTTATTATTATTATTGGCTAATTATTAATAATTAATTTATTATTGTTAGCAATAAATAAATAATATTAAAATTAATAATTAATAAATAGGTAATTAATTAATTAGTTTAGTAATTTTTTGCAAAAGAATTATTAAAAAAATGCAGTGAATTTTCACAATTGCAGTTAAATTAAAAGAATCATTGCAATGACAATGATTGATGAAAATGATCGTATATATGTTGTAAAATGTATATAATTATCAATTTAATTTGACATAAGTATGGGTTAGCGATGAACGATAATTTTCATCTCCTGATTATCATTATGTCGAACATAAATGTAGGTTTTATCACGATATATATATACCACAAGTGACAATGAGCAGCAGCCCCACATATATTGCTTAATAAGTATGTCGCACACAAAAAGAGACGTACATATTATATCTACATACTAAGAAATATTTGCCTTATCAAAAGCATATATATATATATATATATATATATATATAGTTTACTATATTGTATTATATTCATTTAATGATAAAGTATAAACAAAATAATACTAAATTTTCAAATACAAAATTAATTAATTATTAACAAAAATAATTTAATTGCTAAAAAAAAGGGAAAATTTTATAATTATTTGCGCTAATTGAAAGTAAAGGTAATTTCAATTATTTAATAATTTATTATATATTAATTATTAAACAATAATTGTTTAAATTATTGAAATTTAGTTTAATAAATTGAATTTCATAAAATAAAATTCTTTATTTTGTAATAAATATAAAAATATCTATCAATTGGAATCGCAGTTAATTTAATTAATAATAAATAATAATAATTAATAACAAAATTATCAAATTGATAAAAATTCGGATATCATTTTGATACTAAAATACTAAAATTTAGTTTTTACAAAAACTAATTAAAACTGCATAATGATTAACTATTCAATTATATATATTTTTATATAAATGAAAAACTATACATATATATTGAATAGTTAATTCATATTGCTAATGGAGGGGTGAAGGAATCTGGATAAGAATTTCTTGTTGGTTTGTTTTTCATTGAAATTATAATCGGTGATAGTCGGACAATTCATAAGCGTGCACTTTGCAATGAACATTTACCCCGGATGTAAAAGCTTGCAAAGAATATAACTGTGATGCAAATACAAAAACGTTCTTGGCGGCCTGCGAATCGAGTTACACGCACCACCAAGATTGAAAAATTGCGTATCATCAACTTTGATGAAGATAAATTAATATTTTACACATGTTTCGTATCCTATATATGAAGAGATTTTCAGAATTGTTTTGGAAAAAAAAACTATACTATTTTCTTCAGTGTAATAAATAAAAAGAAATTTTTTTAACAAATTGTAAATGTAATATATATTAATTAAAGTTATGTAAATTGACTTTATATATGAGAAGTGGCTGTAAAAAAATATTTACGACAGAAATTCTCAATTTTTTTTTTTTTTTATATAAGCAATCAAGGTCTCTTATCTCACAGTATAGTCGAATTAAGATGATATCTGAAGATAAAGTATACCATAAAATGTATAATAACCATTTGGTTATTCCTTTAATTTTTCGCTCATTTTTTTTTGGTATAAAAAAACAGGAACTGAATTAAAACATTGGAAATTAATATAGATAATTATTATTTATAATAAATAAATAAATTATAAATAAATTGAATAAAAAATTAATAATCAACAAAATAAATAATGAACAAATTAAATAAATAAATAAAAAACCAAATAAACGAATTATTTGGTTTAATATTTATTTGTAATATAATGATAATTTATATTTATTATTTAATTTGTTTATTGTTTATTTGGTTTATTATTTATTTTGTTTATTATTAATTTTTTAGTTTTATACATTAATATGAATTTTTTTATATTATGCATTGGACCGAATGGTTTGAAATAAATAAATTACTAAACAAAAAAACAAATTAAATAATAAATAAATAATAAACAAATTAAATATTAAACCAAATAAAAAATTTAAATAGAAAGCAAAAAAAATTAATTTATAAAAAAATAATAAACAAAATAAACAAATTAAATAGTAAGCATAATAAACGAATTTAAAAATAAATAATAAACGAAATAAACAAATTAAATAATTAATAAGTAATAAATAAAAATATAAACATTAAAATAATAAATAAATAGTAAACAATATAAACAAATTAAATAACAAATCAAATGAAAAATTAAATAATAAACCAAATAAACAAATTTAAAATAAATAATAAACTAAATAAACAAATTAAATAATTAATAAGTAATAAATGAAAATATAAACATTAAAATAATAAATAAATAGTAAACAATATAAACAAATTAAATAACAAATCGAATGAAAAATTAAATTATTAACCAAATAAACAAATTTAAAAATAAATAATAAACTAAATAAACAAATTAAATAAATAATAAACTAAATAAATAAATTAAATAATTAATAAGTAATAAATAAAAATATAAAAATTAAAATAATATATAAATAGTAAACAATATAAACAAATTAAATAACAAATCAAATGAAAAATTAAATAATAAACCAAATAAACAAATTTAAAAATAAATAATAAACTAAATAAACAAATTAAATAATTAATAAGTATAAATAATATAAAAAAATTAAATAATAAATAATATAAACAAATTAAATACTAAACCAAATAAAAAGTTTAAATAGTTAATAAATAAATGATAAACAAATTAAATAATAACCAAATGAAATAATTAATAAATAAACGAATTTTAGTAAATAATTAAAAATTGAATAAAAAATACAGCAATCAAGTAGGTGAATAAAAATTTAAATATGAAAATTAAAGTAAAAAATCAAAAAATTTAGTAAAAAAAAAAAATCTATCTATTGGTCCAGTATGCAAGAGGTCACGAAATGAAATAACAATAATAATTGATCGACATTGATCAACACGCAAACACCCAATAAATCTCAAAGCAGAATCTCCTTCTCTCATTCAAATATTCACAGCATCCTCTTCACTCACACATCATGCAACAATCTAATCTTTTATACATTCATTTCGATGACTTTCCTCTTAAAAAATATTATTGCGACATCCCAGTGGTTCTCAACCGCGTAATCCAAAAAAAAAAAATAATTTCATTCTAAATCTTTTAATTTTTCACAAAAAAAAAATTATTTTTTCTACTCACCACACTCTCAACACCATTAATCCATCCCGTTGATAGAATGAAAAACACACCTCCAATGATCCATAAAAAATCCAGAACTTTGAATATTAAGATGCGACCCTTTGGCCGCATCTTGCTTTTTTGACAATTAAAATTGGAAAAATTTTTGTTGGGGAAAAAAAGAGGGGGGAGGGTGAAAATAGAGGGGGGAGGAGGGCAAAAAGGGGGATGAAATTAAGGGAAAAAAAATCGCATTTCTTTGTTGTTTTTTTTTGCGAAGGGGAGGAAATTTTTTTTTTCGAAAAAGATCACAGAATTTTTTTTTTTTTTTGAGGTCCACACCGCGCCGCAAGAGGATATCGTCTCGCTGTGCCTTGATGTTTCGTTCTGTCGTGGTTGGGAGAATTTCTAGTCTTCTCTCTCTTTCTCTCTTTTTTTTCACTGTCTCTCCTTCTCTCTCTCTCCCTTTTCTCTCTCTCTCTTCCTCTTGTTCCGTCTCTCTTTCTCCACTTGATTTTTCACCCACAGTCAAGTCGGTCCCTCGCTCATGGACTCTTTCTCACTAGTCTTCTTTTCCTCAAGCTGAGCGCTTGAATCTTCCGCGCCCTGTTTTTTTTTTTTTTTCTTTTTTCCTTGTGTGTCACTTTTAACGCGTTTTCTGTATCCTTGCGCGTTTCTTCGTTGTCGCGCGCGCGGTATTCGTACAAACTATAAACGCATTTTGAAACGTATTGCCGTGTACCCTGACCGCAAGAGGAAAAGAGAGACAAGAAAAGAGAATAAGAGAGTGAGCGTGTCCCGAGTGAACGAGAGCCAATCAAAGAGAGAGGGAGTTGAAGGAACGGACCGCGCAACAGTCACGGGGAGATGCGCGATCTTAGCCTCTTTGGCTCTTAGGCTCACTGTCCGCGGTTACTAGTCTGGACCAGAGTCTGGAGTTAAAGAGAAGCTTTTTCTTTCGCTCAAGAGAAGCAAAAAAAAAAGGTAGAAGAAAGAGAGAGGAGAAGAAGAGAGAGAGAGAGATAGAGAGAGGGTTGGAGAAACCCTCTTAAAAAAAAAAAATAGGGGGAAATTTTTTTTTTTTCTTCTTCAAATAAGAAGAGGGTGTTTGTGAAAGAGGAAGCTGCACCACCACCACCGGCGGCGGCAGCAACCGCGGAGGAATCCTAGCTGGCGTGGCTCGTGTCCACCGCCTCCACCTTCCTTCCCTCCTCAGTTCATTCAGAGTCCTCCCTGGATGGGACGACTCCGCACACTTCTCCTCACCACGTTACCATTCTGCCGCCCGAGATTATTTGCCCGACAGTCCATCCGTAAACGGACTTAATAAGGCTCCTGCCAAAGTCGACTCCCTAGACCTCACAGGAATAGGGAGGTCGAGATCATGATCCGGCCGGGATTGCGGTGAGTCCAACCCTTATTTTTTAATCATCCTCAAAAATTTTGTCATTCACATTTTAAATTTTCATTTCATTTTATATTTATTTGTAAAAGAGTAATTTTAATTTAAATTAAAATTTTTTTTTACGATACATATTTTTCATCTTCTTTTTATTTTAATTTCTCATCTTCTTTAATAAATTATTATTATTGTATCTTCTTTTTTTTAAATAGTTTTTTATATTCTCTTTCCTCTGGTTGTAAACAAAATTCTTTTTTTTAATACTCTTCATATTCTATTACCCATTATATTTGTATCGGAAATAAATTAATATATTTCATTTTTTGACATCTTTTATCTTCTTTTTCTATATTCAAATATTGTTCATGTTTTTTGGGTTTCTTTTTTTCTTTTTAACTCTTTTTGTAGTTTTTCACTCATTTTGAATTTTTTTGATTTCATATTGATTGACATTCTTTTTATCTTCTTTGGTTTTTTTATTATTCTTTTAATTTTTTTTCATCTTTAATTTTCTTTAATTTTCTTTGGTTCTCCGCGTTCATTTTATTTTTCTTTAATTCTTCTTTGACTTTTTATTCTCTTCTTTTTTCTTTTCATTTTCTTTAATTTTCTTCATTTTCTTTGGTTCTCTTCGTCGATTTTCTTCTTCTTCGATTCTTCTTTAATTTTTTATTCTCTTCTTTTTTCTTTTCATCTTCTTTAATTTTCCTTATTTTCTTTGATTCTCCTCGTTGATTTTCTTTTTCTTTGATTCTTTTTATATTATTTATTTTTTTCTTTTTATTTTTATTAATTTTCTTCATTTTCTTTGGTTACATTCGTTTATTTTCTTTTTCTTTGATTCTTTTTTAATTTTTTATTCTCTTCTTTTTTCTTTTCATCTTCTTTAATTTTCTTTGGTTCTCTTCGTTGATTTTCTTTTTCTTTGATTCTTTTTTAATTTTTTATTCTCTTCTTTTTTCTTTTCATCTTCTTTAATTGTCTTTGGTCCTCTTCGTTGATTTTCTTTTTCTTTGATTCTTTTTTAATTTTTTATTCTCTTCTTTTTTCTTTTCATTTTCTTTAATTTTCTTTGATTCTCTTCGTTGATTTTCTTCTTCTTCGATTCTTTTTACCTTTTTTGGTTTCTTTTTTTATTCTTTTCAATATTTTTTTCGTATTCTTTAATTTTCTTCGTTTTCTTTGGTTTTCTTTAATTCTTCTTTAATTTTGTTTTCTTTTTCTTTAATTCTTCTTTGATTCTTTTTATCTTTGGTTTTTTATTCTTTCCATTTTTTTCATCTTCTTTAATTTTCTTTGGTTCTCCACGTTCATTTTCTTTTTCTTTGATTCTTCTTTGACTTTTTATTCTCTTCTTTTTTCTTTTCATCTTCTTTCATTTTCTTCATTTTCTTTGGTTCTCTTCGTTGATTTTCTTCTTCTTTGATTCTTTTTACTTTTTTTGGTTTCTGTTTTTTTTTTTTATTGTTTTCAATATTTTTTTCATCTTCTTTAATTTTCTTCATTTTCTTTAGTTTTCTTTTCTCTTTAATTCTTCTTTGATTCTTTTTTTCTTCTCTGGTTTTTTATTCTTTTCATTTTTTCATTTTCTTTAATTTTTTTGGTTCTCCGCGTTCATTTTATTTTTCTTTGATTCTTCTTTGACTTTTTATTCTCTTCTTTTTTCTTTTCATTTTCTTTAATTTTCTTCATTTTCTTTGGTTCTCTTCGTCGATTTTCTTCTTCTTCGATTCTTCTTTAATTTTTTATTCTCTTCTTTTTTCTTTTCATCTTCTTTAATTTTCTTCATTTTCTTTGATTCTTCTCGTTGCTTTTCTTTTTCTTTGATTCTCTTATTTGGTTATCTTCGATTTTCTTTTATAATTTTTGTCTTTGATTATTTTCATCTTCTTTAGTTTCTTTGCTTTAATCAATTCTTTTTATTAAGGAAAAAAAATTCGTTTTCTTCTTCTTTGACTTGAATTTCAATCTCACAACATAAACGAAAATCAACATATATAATCAAATTGAATTTCCTTCGGTTGATCACCACTGACATACTCTCACTTTCATCTACTTCCTCTTCCTCTCTTGTTCTTCATATCTCTCAATGCTGAAGAATCATCTTTTTCTGGTTATCACTTCATTTTCATTCATTAAAATTTTTCTTACAATTATTGTTTTTTTTTTTTTTGACAAATTTATTTTTTTTAATTTTTACTTTTCAGAATCTGTTAATAATTTCAATTTAAAAAGCAATGATTTTTTAATGACGCACGTCAGAAATATTAAATTAGTTTCGCGTTTAACAAAAAAAATGATAATTAATTATTAATAATTATTTGAAAATAATTTTTATCATTTTCAAAAAAAAAGAAAATGCAAATAAAAGTTTACCAGTTCAAAGTGACCCATTTTTATTTGGAATGAAGTTATTTAAAACACATATGCGCTCTACACATGTCAAACTATTTTTAAATTTATAAATTAGGTAAAGTACATTTAAAGAATTTGTAAATCTGATGTAATTCGATTCAATTGATAATAAAAAAAAAACCTTTTTTTTAATTAACATTTTTTAACTAATTTTTTTTTTTCTTTTATATTAATCAATTCTGTGTTGAAAACAAATGTTATTGATTCATTTCTGCTTATCTCCCTTTTTCCTTTCCTATTTGTTTTTGTAGTTTTGATTATATTAATTTTCTGTTTTTTTTTGTTTTTTCCTCATATGTCTCAGAATTATCAATTCCGTGTAATTCTTTCGTTATACGTACACAATTATGACATTATTCATATTCACTATTTTTTTAATATTATTAATTTTAACAATTTAACGATCATTGCTTTTATTTTTCTCTATTTTAATTTTTTTATTTGCATTTTAACGGTACAAAAGCCCTTTAGTATTTTTTCTATTTTTGTTTCTTTTATTTATTTTGTTATTTGTTAATTAATTTATTTTGTTTTTTATTTACTTTTTTAATTTTTAATTTTTATTTTTGTTTTCCCTTTTTTCCTTTGATTTTTCCTATAGTAAATTTTATAAAAGAAGAGAAAATTTTCTTGCAAATTCAGACATTTTTGAAATTCTTCAATTATTGTCTTCAGCATTTTCTCACACTTCTCAACTTCTAAAATTGTAAGTTCATATCTGTAATTTTCTCATCTCTATATATATATGTGTACAATATAAGGATCTCTGGTTTCGATAATTCTAAAGAGAGCCTTACCTTCACCTTCATATTCCTTAATTTTTGCGAAACATGCTTTATACCTTATTCTCTCTTCTTTTTTTAAAATTCATTTTCTTTTTTCTTCACTGTTTGTGTCTATTCCCATTTTTCACTTTTTTTCATTCTCTTTTACATCTTTTTTTCATATGGAAATCTGATTTTCTTCGCTTTTATTTTTTCCCTTTGTGCGATTCCAAGTGAGATTTTGACTTTTTCGGAGTAGGTTAACCGATTGCAATGAAACTTTGGAATTTTGTTATATATAGTAAGACTAATCTTTAACGTAAATTTCAGCCTAAAATATTTGTTAGTTTACGAGATTTGCAATAATAACAAAAAATTTAAAACTGCTATATCTTCCGTTCTAATAAACGGATTGAGGTCTACTTTTTTTTAAAATGTCAAGGAAAATGAGAGGAATAAATCTCTTTCAGAACATTTTTTTATAATTTTACAACTAAAAAAATTATTAAATAATAATTGAATAACTTTCGCGCGACTAACTAAAATTCAATCACTTAAACGCTAAAATGATCTTACCTGTGTTTTCTTTAATGTTCCAAAGGATTTTTATTGTAAATGTAAGTTTAACTTAAGAAATTTTATTAATTTATTAGTATAAACAATTGAGATTTCTGCTAGTTGACGTGCAGACGACATTGCGCACGCAGCATTCTCACATAGCCAATTTAGTCCACGAATCACGTCAGTTGGCTATGTGAGAATGCTGCGTGCGCAATGTCGTCTGCACGTCAACTAGCAGAAATCTCAATTGTTTATACTAATAAATTAATAAAATTTCTTAAGTTAAACTTACATTTACAATAAAAATCCTTTGGAACATTAAAGAAAACACAGGTAAGATCATTTTAGCGTTTAAGTGATTGAATTTTAGTTAGTCGCGCGAAAGTTATTCAATTATTATTTAATAATTTTTTTAGTTGTAAAATTATAAAAAAATGTTCTGAAAGAGATTTATTCCTCTCATTTTCCTTGACATTTTAAAAAAAAGTAGACCTCAATCCGTTTATTAGAACGGAAGATATAGCAGTTTTAAATTTTTTGTTATTATTGCAAATCTCGTAAACTAACAAATATTTTTGGCTGAAATTTACGTTAAAGATTAGTCTTACTATATATAACAAAATTCCAAAGTTTCATTACAATCGGTTAACCTACTCCGAAAAAGTCAAAATCTCACTTGGAATCGCACCTTTATATTCTTTTAAAGTAAATACCATTTTCTTCTTTTCCATTTCTTCTGATTTTTGTCAACAACATTTTTTCTTCTTTAAAAAAGAAGACTGGACCAAAATGGAATTTTTTTTTTTTTGGTCCAGTACCTAATTTTTTCTTCTTCTTCTTTAAAGAAGAAGACTGGACCAAAACCAAAAATTTGTTCTTGGTCCAGTCTATAGCACCAAATTTTTATTTCAAAGAAGAAAACTGGACCAAAATTTGGTTTTTGGCAGCAAATTTTTTCTTCAAAGAAGACTGGACCAAAAAGAAAATTTTTTTTTTGATCCAGTCTGGCACCAAATTTTTATTTCAAAGAAAACTGGACCAAAATTTGGTTTTTGGCAGCAAATTTCTTCTTAAAAGAAGACTGGACCAAAAAGAAAATTTTTTTTTTTTGGTCCAGGCTGACACGATCTCTTGATAAATTCAAAAACGTTCGATAACGGTCCTATTGGGCAAAGTACTCATCATACACTCTTCATCATCATTATCGTTATTATCCTTTTTTCTCCCCCTCCCCTCCTTCCTTGTTCCTCTCGATCGATGTCTGATCTTGCGAATACCAGCTTCCGAGACACACACACAAACACACCGAAAATTCACGTTTGGTATCCGATCGCACACATCAGGGATGCAAGAGGAGCCTTCCTTGTTATCCTGGAATCTTTCTCATCTTCTCTCTCTCTCTCTTTCTCTCTTACTTACTCTTCTGCTACATGATATGTTTCTTCACCCGCACACGCTCTCATCCACCTGATCCTTGTCCCTTTCACGTGCGAGAGAGCACCACCGCCTCCTCTTCTTCTTCTTTATTCTTCTCCCATTCCACCCTTTGACTTCTTCTCAAGACTCGTGAAACAGACTTACATATATATATATATATATACATTTGCCTCACGATCATCCGCCATTATCCAACGGGATATTTTTGTACTCCTGGCCCCATACCGGAAATATTCCAATCGAGTTAACAAGTTGAGGCGTTTTATTTAGAACACCCACTGTTTACATACACATACATACATACATACATACACCCCCCAGATGAATTCTCTTTTTGTGAATTTCTTCGAAAAATTCATTATCGAAAATAAAAATAATTTTTCAATTATAAAAAAATTTATTGTGATAATTTAAAAAAAAAAAAATGGTGATAATAATAAAATTTGCTATTTTTAATATTATCTATTTTTAAGATAAAAAAAAAATCGAATTCTAAATCATACTGATTTATTGCTTTGGATTTGTAGTTTTAATTATAGAAAAAAATTTTTTTTTTACCTTTAATTTGGTTTTTGAATTTTTTTTTGTTCTATATTTAAAATTCTTAAATTACTTGCTGGTAACTACCATAAAGTTCAATTATAATTTTTTGTAACTATTATTATAACTACCATAAATTGTAACTATAATTAATGTAATTACTATTTTTTGTAACAATTATTTTTTGTAACTATTATGTTTTTTAAACTACAATAAATTGTAACTATTATTCTATGTATCTACATAAATCATAACTATCATTAATTTAACAATCATAACTATCATTTTTTGCAACTATTTTTTTTTCTAACTACCATAAGTTATATAACTATTATTAATTGGAATTATTATTTTTTGTAACTACCATAAAATGTAACTATAATTAATTGCAACTACTATTTTAAGTAACTACCATAAATTGTAACTATAATTAATTGCAACTACTATTTTAAGTAACTACCATAAATTATAACTATAATTAATTGGAACTACTATTTATTTAAATTATTATTAATTGTAACTATCATAAAACATAACTATAATTTTTTGGAACTATCATATAATTGTAACTAATATTTTTTCTAACTACCATAAATTGTAATTATTATTTTTTTTATAACTACCATAAATTGTAACTATTATTTTTTTTATAATTATACCATAAATTGTAACTATTATTTATTTCAATTATTATAATTTGTAACTATATTTATTTGTAACTACCATAAATTGTAAATAAAATTAATTGCAACTATAATTAATTATAAATATTATTTTTGGTAACTACCATTTTTTGTAATTAATATGGTATACATGTTAATAATGGTGGATAGTAGTAAACAGAAATAATAATTTTGTTATAATAAAAGTGGTAGTTACAAAAAAATAATTATCATAAAAAATGGTTTTTTTAAAAAAATTTTAATATAAAAAAAAATTTTTTTTTTTAAATAAAAATTTTTTTTTACAGATGGCTCGCGACCCTGGCTTGCCTCGCCGCTTTAGTAAAAGGGGTAAGTTTATTTTTTATTTTCCTATAAGAAAAATTGTAATTAATTACAATTAATTATTAATTAATTAATTAATAATAATTGATAAATTAAAAATGGAGAATCTCAAAATTCTGATTCTTGTGGATCTTTCCCATGAATTCTCACGCAAAATTTTGTTCACGTTTTTTATACTGTATATAATAATAATAATAATTGTAATAATTATAATAATAATATTGCATATATATACTGATTCATTCACCCGGATAGTGAGACACACGTATGTCAAGATTACATGTGCGAATTATATACACACACACACATATATATATATATATATATATATTTATGTATATATATTTATGTAATTTATCCCTACATATATGCAAAAGCATGCACTGGAAATGTTAGTGTCCGCCAAACACTCTTCTGAATAGTCCCCTTGATAACATTCTGTTTATCCATCGAGAGCAATTTCATTTCCGGTTTTTTTTTGTGATTAAGACATCTTCATTAGTAAATTCATTTTACTAATTTTACTTATTTTATACATTCCTTTCTAAGTATTCATTTAATTTTTTTTTTTTAAACTATTTTGAAAATTTTACTATTTCTTTTTTGTTTAGAAAAATATTCGTATTTTACCTAATTAATTATAAAGTATTTTTAGCAAAATAAAACTGTTACTAAACATAACCTAAAATTTCTTTTATACCATAAGGTCCCTTCTCTTGTGGAGCGTCATATTTTATTATTATTATTATTTTTATTATTATCATTCTAAAGCCGATATAAATCTAAACAATTTATTATTATTTTAATTATTATTTACTTCCGTTTATTTTTTTTATTTATAATTTTAAAAAAATATTGAGAAATAATAATTTTTATTTAGCAAAAAATTTTGTTACCCCTTTTTTTCTTTTTTCTAAATTTTTCTCTATAATTGATTTTTCATTTCTCCGTCATTTTTACAAATAATATCTATATAAAAAAAAAAAATTATTACTAAAAATTCCTTAGGTTTATATATTATGGGATATTTTTACATTTTTTTACTATGTGTATGAGAGAAAAAAAAATGGCAAGGTGTCTTTAAACGGAGGGAAGATTTATGTCAAGTACTTTTTGCCTTATCTGCATATATTGCTCTGAAGCCATAAACAATGCTAGCGCCTTTTTTGTGCGCTGGTAAGAAATATATATATATATATATATATATATATATATATATATATATATATATAAAGAGAGGGTATGAAAATTCACATTCCCATAAACTATTTTCTCCTTGGCAGTAGCTTCAAATCTAAAGAGTTAAACACATTAAGCATCAAATGCAAAAACAAGAAAAAAAAATTAAAGTGCAATTAGTTTCTTACAGAGAAATTTTTCTATTTCAAACCAAAATATAATAATAATAATAATAATAATAATAATATTAATAATAATAATAATTTTAATAATATTAATAATAATAATAATAATAATAATAATAATAATAATAATATATAATAAATAGAAAAAAATATTTTTTCCAAATTAGTTTTAATTATCGGTTCATTTTTATTTTAATATATCGATTTACTCCTGAACGATGACTACCGTTTATACACGGCTGTAGGAGATTCTACTTATCATCCGAAAAGAATTTTCAAAAATTATTAAAATTATTTTTAAAAAAAATTTTTATACAGTTTTTTTTGTATTACAAAAAAAAAGAGAAATTTTCAATTAAAGTAAATTAGTTAATACTAAATTAAAATTTAGTTATCTTTTTTTTTTTTTTTTTTGAAAAAAGAAAATAAGTGAAATAATAATAGGGGAATTTCACGAAAAACCAGAAAATGAAATTAATTTCGTTTATAGTAAGAAGTTTATAAGTATATTACAAGTGGACCTCGATTCGTATGATATTTAAAGAGTTATTAGGTTGCAGTTAGTGAAAATCCTGTTCGCCTACGATTGGTCTCTCCCTGTATATATATATATATATATCTCATTTCTGGATATATGTACTTTTCGCTTACTCATTTACTTAAAATAGTTTTCCACTTTATATTTCAATATTATTCGTTAATAAACATTAAATATAAATATATACCACTGCAAATACACTATTGTTTTACATTGGCGAGGCAAAGGCCACAATGGAGGTCATGGAATTATTTTCCAATACGCGTAAACAAGAGAATTCAATCATATTTTTTATTTGCATACATTAATATCTTATTTTTCAAAAAAAAAAAAAAAATTGTCTCATTTATTTGTTAAAAATAAATAGACGCCAAGTATTTTTTTTTTTTAAACAATGGTAATTTAAAAAAAGAACTTGAGAAAATTTTGGTGCAGCAGCTGTCCTAATTGAAAAAATTTCTAAATTCACAAAAAACAAATTGAATATATAAATTTTTCATTTCTGGCAGCTGCAAAAAGATCCATAACAAAACTCCCTAAAAAAATATTTTTTTTTATATATTTTTTTTTTCTAAAAATAAATTAATCTGTCGTGTTTTATAATATTAATATTCATTGCGCGCTTACTTAATGGACATCACATATATATAAGTGATATAGGAAAAAGTAGAAAAAGTCAGAGATTGGTGAGACTTGAGAAAGGGATAATGAAGAGAAAGAGGAGAAAAAAGGGGGGGGGGAATGACTTTGAGACGAAGATGCAAAGGATGCTGCGAATATATATACATATATACATATAAAAATAAAAGAAGGTATATATATAGTAAAGTATGTCTTGTCACAATACACTTGTGTCTCGTCGCATATATTGCATTGCGTAATCTTGGTTTCACGAAGGCGGCCAGAAAAAACGATAAAAAAGGACAATTGTTGAACCGGCACGAAGAGATATCTTCTATCTGAGAAAATTGGGTTATACAGCTTCGTTACACGAATTGTCGCTGGCTAATCTAGTTTACGTTTTTTTTTTCGTTTTTAATTACGATCTTTTAAATTTTTTTAAAAATTTGTTTTTAATAATTTTTAATAATTATTATTATCGTTCAATTACATCGGTTAACATTTTTTTTAAAATTACCATTATTTATAACAAATATTTATAACAAATATTTATAACAAATATTTATAACAAATATTTATAACAAATATTTATAACAAATATTTATCACAAATATTTATAGCAAATATTTATAACAAATATTTATCAAAAATATTTATAACAAATATTTATCACAAAAATTTATAAGAAATATTTATAACAACCATTGTTTATAACAATGATTTTATTAACAATTACAAGAAAACTCACTATTTGTAACAATAATTGTTTGTTTATAACAAACATGTTTTAAACATTGTTCATAAATGCCACTTTTTGTAACAACCATTATTTATAACAATTATTTATAACAATTATTTATAATAATTATTTATAACAATAATTTACAACAATTATTTATAATAACCATTGTTTATAACAATAATTTTTTAAACTACAATTATTTGTAATTGCCATTATTTGTAAAAACAATTATTTATAACAATTATTTATAACAATTATTTATTATAATTATTTATATCAATTATTTATAATTATTATTTATATCAATTATTTATAATTATTATTTATAACAATTATTTATAACAATTATTTATAATAATTATTTATAACAATAATTTACAACAATTATTTATAATAACCATTGTTTATAACAATAATTTTTTAAACTACAATTATTTGTAATTGCCATTATTTGTAAAAACAATTATTTATAACAATTATTTATAACAATTATTTATTATAATTATTTATATCAATTATTTATAATTATTATTTATATCAATTATTTATAATTATTATTTATAACAATTATTTATAACAATTATTTATAATAATTATTTATAACAATAATTTACAACAATTATTTATAATAACCATTGTTTATAACAATAATTTTTTAAACTACAATTATTTGTAATTGCCATTATTTGTAAAAACAATTATTTATAACAATTATTTATTATAATTATTTATTATAATTATTTATTATAATTATTTATATCAATTATTTATAATTATTATTTATATCAATTATTTATAACAATTATTTATTATAATTATTTATATCAATTATTTATAATTATTATTTATATCAATTATTTATAATTATTATTTATAACAATTATTTACAACAATTGTTTATAATAACCATTGTTTATAACAATAATTTTTTAAACTACAATTATTTGTAATTGCCATTATTTGTAAAAACAATTATTTATAACAAATATTATTTATAATTTCTGTAATTTGTAACTATCATTGTTTTTAAATACTATTAGGTAAACATTAATTTATAATTAAATAGTTAATTAATTTAAATAAATTACTTAATTAATTAAAACAAATCGTATAATTTAATTATTAATTCAAGTATTTATTATTAATTATTTATAATAATTATAATAATAATATAAATAAGTATTAATTATTAATTTTTTAATTGTAATTATAGTTATATAAATAAATTAGAAAAAAAAAATTGTTATAAATAGCAGTTTTCAGTGTCGATTCCGGAATCAAAAGTATTTAACTAATTAAAAAAAAGGGGGATAAAGCTTAAAAAAAAATTTTGAAATTAAAATGATTTGAAAAAATATATGGAAAAAGGAATAACTGAACGAAATTTTGCAATAAGATTCTGTGAATTGAATCCAATTATTTTCAATCTCGTTGTCGGACAGAGCGGCGAGGTCATCGGTGAGTTGAGTAAATTGGGCTTAGCTTGATTAGGGGATTAGAAGTCAGTGAGTGACATTGCAAATGAATGAATTCCTGTCAAAGGGGATTCGTAAAAATTTAAAAAAAAAATATATATTTTTTTCCTTTTTTTCAAAATATCAATTTTTCAAATCATTTTTTTTTTTTTTTTTTTGATTCCAAATAATTAAAAAAGGGCTGAATATGGATAATGAAGATTTAATTTAAAAAATTTTACTTTTATCACAGATAATATTCTTACGTCATTATAAATGATATATTCTTTGTTGCGTAAGTTGCCGATGATTTTCAATGTTAAATAACTAACCTCATTTTTCCCAACTTCATATGTTTCGATTTTAAAAATTACGAAATAATGAAATTACACTATTTTTTTTTAATGATTATTTATCGATCATGTCAAGCCAAAAATTTTAATTAAATTATATATTTTAATGATTTTTATAAAAAAAATTTTTTTGTTTATTCCCTTAAGTTTTTTCAATTATATTAATTTTCTCATTTTTCTATAATTTTTGTTTCTGTTTTTTTTAAACTTTCGATATTTTGATAAATATAGAACGATAAATAATTATTAAACAATAGTTATTAAATAATGACGAGTATACATGATTTTATTGCGTGTATGACATCATTAATTTCAATAATAAGAAACCAAGTCTCATTTTATGCTGATTGTAAAATATATATATATAGGCAGGGTCGATCAAGTTCATAGGTCATCATTTTAGATTTGTCATTAACAGTTTATCTATAACATGTGCTGTTATAATTCGTTCTTTTTATTTCATTTGTTTCCTTACAAATAAGCGTAGATTAATTTCTAGGAAAAAAAAAAAAATCTCCCCCTCTCTTTCGTTCTCTAAAAGAAAACTCAATTTCTTTGTTGTGTAAATTATTATTAATATTGTTTAATTAAAAAAAAAAAAAAAAAAAAAATCAAATTTAATTTTTCAAATTATTTTTTTTTTTCAGCAAAATTTTTCAACTCGTCAAAGGTTTCAACACAGAGGTGACATTGAAAAACCACCGCATGGGGATGATAATGACGATTCATATCGTCCTTATGATGACGATCAACCCGACTATGATGGTTACTATTTTACTATTATTTATTATTTATAGTATTTAAAAAAAACTAGTTATTTATAACTATAATTTACACTATAATAATAGTATTGTAGTACTATTATACTGTAATAATAAGTACTACAGTACTGTAATACTATATTTTATACTATAATAATATTACTATTGTACTAAAGTACTATAATACTAATAACAGTATTACAATACTATAATTTAGAGTGTTTTAAAAAAGTATTTATTTATAACTATAATTTATACTATAATAATAGTGCTATAGTACTACAGTACTATAGTATTGTAATCTAGTAATACTAGTAATACTATTATAATACTATAATTTATAGTGTTTTAAAAAATTTTTTTATTTCTAACTATAATTTATACTACAGTAATAGTATTATTGTACTATAATACTACAATATTAATAATAGTACTATAATACTATAATTTATCGTTTTTTAAAAAACCAGTTATTTATAATAATTATTGATTGCTGTGAATTATAATTATTAATGGTGATAATTATTATAATTAATTTTATAAAAATTAATTAATTAATAATTAATATTAATAAATATAATTAATGGGCTTTGCCCGTATTTTTTTCAATAAATAAATAAAATAATTAATAATAAATAATTAGTAATAAATAATTAATAATAAATAATTAGGAATAAATAATTAATAATAAATAATTAGTAATAAATAATTAATAATAAATAATTAGTAATAAATAATTAATAATAAATAATTAGGAATAAATAATTAATAATAAATAATTAGTAATAAATAATTAATAATAAATAATTAGTAATAAATAATTAATAATAAATAATTAGGAATAAATAATTAATAATAAATAATTAGTAATAAATAATTAATAATAAATAATTAGTAATAAATAATTAATAATAAATAGGAATAAATAATTAATAATAAATAATTAGTAATAAATAATTAATAATAAATAATTAGGAATAAATAATTAATAATAAATAATTAGTAATAAATAATTAATAATAAATAATTAGTAATAAATCATTAATAATAAATAATTAGTCAAATAAATAATGGAAAATTGAATTCTTTTTTTTTGAAGATGGCAACGATAGGAATTATGAGACGTCATATAATACTGGCTCCTCGTGGAATCAAACATTTTACAATGGCAATAGAGAAGGATATGGTGACTCGAGAAATTATGGTGATTCATATGATCGAAATTATCATCGAGGTCAACATGGTTCATCGCAATATGATCGAGATCGTTATCTACCATCGGGAGCTGAAAGAGAAGATGGTGGAGGTAGATACGCGGTGTATCCAAATCCAGAAGCAAAAAATTGTACCGGAAATGCAAATTGCGTTCCAAAATGTTACGCCGAGAAAGGATCAAGAGTAAGAGAAAGAGAAAAAAAAATTTTTTTTTCTCCCGATTTAAATAATAAATAAATTCGAATAATCATTGTTATTAAAATTGAATTGAATTTTTCTAATTAATTATTTTTAGGGTCCTCCTGGTACACCTGGAATTCAAGGTCCTCGGGGTCAAACAGGATTTCCAGGAATAGAAGGTCTTCTTGGTCAAAAGGGTGATAAAGGTGATCCCGGTCCACAAGGACCACGAGGATACAAGGGTGATCGAGTAAGATTAAATTAGTGTTCACAAAAATGTTTTTTGAGAGTCGAAAAATTTTACAAAAAAAGGAACAGAAATTTTTTTTTTTTTATAATAATAATAGATATTTTTTTTTGTAATTCAATGAAAATTTTCAAAAAGGTTTATAAATATTTTTAATTAATTTTTACAATTCTAAAAATGAGAAAAAAAAAATTTCAAAAAAATAATTTCTAGGGTATGACTGGAGTGCCTGGATATCCTGGAATCGACGGTGTTCCAGGAGTTCAAGGACCACCGGGAAATGCGGGTCTTCCTGGTCGCGATGGATGCAACGGAACCGATGTACGATTTCATTTTTATATATTATTTATTTAATAATTTTCCTCTAATTAATTTTTACTATTAACTTTTATAAAACTTTTGATATTAATTTTGAAAAATTTGTATTATTACTAAATATTAACTATTATTAGTAAAAATAATAATAATAATAATAATAATAATAAATTATTATTAATTTATAATTTTACAATTAATTTTGAAAATTTTTTAAATATTTTAATAAATATTAATTTTTTTCTCGTTTTTACTATTATTTTCGGACAATTAAAGGGATTACCGGGAATTGATGGTCGTCCTGGAGAATCGGGTCCTCGTGGTCTTCCTGGAATTTCAGGACCAAAAGGAGAAAAAGGAACGCCAGCTTACGTGGGACCTTTTCCCGTGGGAGAAAAGGGTGAACCCGGTCTCGATGGAGTACGTGGTCCACCTGGAAATCCAGGACCAGAAGGACCTCGAGGTCCTCCTGGAATGAAAGGCGAACGAGGACAATACGTACGTTTTTTTTTTTTTTTTTTTTGAATTTCAATTTTTATATCATAAATTATAATTTATAATAAAATAATATAAAAAAAACAGGGATTACCAGGAAGTACGGGACAAAAAGGTGAAAAAGGTCACATGGGTCTTGGCTTCGAAGGACCAAAGGGAGATAAAGGTCTGAGAGGACTTCCGGGTCCTCCGGGTAAATTGGAAACGTCCACGGGAACAAAAACAACAGTTGGTTCACCTGGTGAACCGGGACCAAAAGGAGATCGAGTAATTAAATTTTTTTCTAATTAATTTAAAAAAAATTTTTTAAAAATAAATTTTCCATTACAGAAAAAAATATTTTTTACGCGAATATATTGTCAAGTATTTTTCTTTCAGGGTGATAGGGGCACAGAGGGACCTAGAGGAGAGACCGGTCCTCCAGGTGATTACGGAATACCTGGTGTAGCCGGAATGAAAGGTGAAAAAGGTCTTCCTGGAGTTCCAGGAGTTCGGGTGAGTTCCATTTACATGGAAAAATATCCAAAAACTTATTGCTATCATATTATCAATTTCCCAAAAAATGTATAATTAATTTTTTTTTTTCTACTTACCCAGGGCAGAGATGGATTTTCAGGACCACCAGGACCTATTGGTTTGAAAGGTGACAGAGGTTATGATGGACTACCTGGTCTTGATGGACGTCCTGGCGCTAAAGGACATCCTGGCATAGATGGTCCAATGGGTATTTCCGGTATTCGAGGACCTCCTGGACCACCGGGAGTGAGTATTTCTTCTCCTGAAATTAAATAAATAAATTATTTTCTTTTTATTAACAATTAAATAATTTTTTTTTTTTAACTTTATTGACAATAAATTTTGTTTAGGGTGGTAAAGGTCGTCCTGGACCACCAGGTGAGAAGGGACCAAGAGGTTTCCCTGGTCCAGTGGGACCCAGAGGATCAGATGGTTTTCCCGGAGAACCTGGACTGAGAGGTCCAATTGGTTTACAAGGAGGACCGGGTCTTCCAGGAATTCCGGGTCCCGAAGGACTGCCAGGTGAAAAAGGACACAAAGGAGAATCGGGTCTTCCGGGCTTTCCAGGTGAAATTGGACCACGTGGTTTTGATGGAGCTCCTGGTCCCGCAGGACTTCGAGGTCCTTCCGGTGAAAAAGGATTGTCAATCATAGTAAGTGATAAAATCAATTCAGCTACAAGGATCAATTAGGTTTAATCAGTTTCAATTAGGTTCCATTAAGTTCAATGAGGTTCCATTAGGTTTAATCAGGTTCCAGTTGGTTTAATCAGGTTCCATTAGGTTTAATTACAGGTTCAATTAGGCTTAGTTAGGTTTAATGAGGTACGATTAGGTACCATTAGGTTCAATAAGGTTCCATTAAGTTTAATCAGGTTCCAGTTGGTTTAATCAGGTTCCATTAGGTTTAATCACAGGTTCAATTAGGCTTAGTTAGGTTCAATGAGGTACGATTAGGTACCATTAGGTTCCATGAGGTTTCATTAAGTTTAATCAGGTTCCAGTAGGTTTAATTAGGTTCCATTAGGTTTAATCACAGGTTTAATGAGGTTCCATTAAGTTTAATCAGGTTCGATTAGGTTTAATCACAGGTTAAAATAGGCTTAGTTAGGTTCCATTAGGTTTAATCACAGGTTCAATGAGGTTCCATTAAGTTTAATCAGGTTCCATTAGGTTTAATCACAGGTTAAATTAGGCTTAGTTAGGTTCCATTAGGTTTAATCACAGGTTCAATGAGGTTCCATCAAGTTTAATCAGGTTCCAGTAAGTTTAATCAGGTTCCATTAGGTTTAATCACAGGTTAAATTAGGCTTAGTTAGGTTCAATGAGGTACGATTAGGTACTATTAGGTACCATTAGGTTCAATGAGGTTCCATTAAGTTGAATCAGGTTCCAGTAAGTTTAATCAGGATCTATTAGGTTTAATCACAGGTTAAATTAGGCTTAGTTAGGTTCAATGAGGTACGATTAGGTACCATTAGGTTCAATGAGGTTTCATTAAGTTTAATCCGGTTCCAGTAGGTTTAATCAGGTTCCATTAGGTTTAATCACAGGTTTAATTAGGCTTAGTTAGGTTCAATGAGATAAGATTAGGTACCATTAGGTTCAATGAGATTCCATTAAGTTTAATCAGGTTCCAGTAGGTTTAATCAGGTTCCATTAGGTTTAATCAGGTTCAATTAGGCTTAGTTAGGTTCAATCAGGTACGATTAGGTACCATTAGGTTCAATCAGGTTTAATTAAACAAAATTTAAACAAAATTAGGGACCCAAAGGAATGGACGGTCTTCCTGGAAACGATGGTGCAAAGGGCCAAAAGGGAGAGAGAGGTTATCAGGGTGTGAGAGGTCGACCCGGCGATTCATTGGAGGGAATTCCAGGATCACCGGGAGCACCTGGACAACCTGGAGAAATTGGACCATCGGGAAAAGATGGTATGCCAGGTTTTCCGGGACTTCCTGGTGAAAAAGGTGACATTGGAGGAAGATGCATTGACTGTGCTCCTGGTCATCCTGGTTTAAAGGGAGAAAGAGGATTCGATGGAGCGCCTGGTATTCCAGGACTTCGAGGACCACCTGGTGAACTTGGACCAATTGGTGAACCTGGAATTGACGGTAATCCTGGACTTCAAGGACCACCTGGTTTTCCCGTGAGTTGAAAATTCGAAATTTCCCTAAATCAATAGCGAAAATCAAACACAGTTTTAAAGAATTAATTTTTCAGGGAAAAGATGGTTTGCCTGGAGCACCTGGATCTCAGGGACAACCAGGAACACCGGCAATTATACCCAGGGATTCATTGAAACCGATAAAAGGCGATAAAGGCGTTCGTGGAGAATCGGGACGTGTTGGACCATTTGGTCCCGAAGGACCTATTGGCGAGAAAGGACGACAAGGATACGAAGGATTTCCTGGTCTCAAAGGAGAACCAGTATGTAATTTAAAAAAAAAAAAATTTCTGTATTTGTAATATTCCGAATATTTCAATTAGATACATTAATGTGAATTTATAGAAATTAAATTAAATATAAAATTTTTTAGGGAGATCGAGGTTTTCCGGGTCAAGATGGAGTTCCTGGAAGACCCGGTGCACCCGGATGGAAGGGAGAGAGAGGTGTGAGCATCAAGGGAGAACCTGGTGAACCAGGACGAGATGGTTATTTTGGAATGAAAGGTGATCCTGGTTTTCCTGGCGATAAAGGAGAGGCTGGTACGTTTAATTATTAATTACCATTTTATTATCAAACTAGAATGACAAGTCTTTTTTTAATTCCCAAAGTACTTAATTTTTAATTCTCTGAAAACAGGTGAATGTGCACCGTGTAACATTACGGAAGGTTTGAAAGGTGATCGAGGGGAGCAAGGTACGAAAGGTGAACCCGGACCGCCTGGAAGAGATGGACCAACGGGCGATAAGGGAGACATGGGTCCTGAGGTAGATTACAAAATATTTCGATTTCGAACATACAAAAATTTTAGATTTTATTTCAGTATTAAATAATGTAATTAAAACCAAGTGATATTCAAATATAATTTCTTACAGGGACTTGTCGGTGCTGTTGGATCGATTGGACCCCCAGGACCTACTGGTCCCAGAGGAGAACCAGGTGAATTTTCTTTTTATATTTTATAATTTTTTCTAAATCGAGCGTTTCAATTCTATAATTCATCCGATAGTTAAAACGTCTGTTGTAGAATTATAATTGTATTTTAATACAATTTTTTTTTAATTTTTTATCAGGACCAAGGGGAGAGAAGGGTAATATGGGACCATTCGGTTTCCCTGGAGAACCGGGCAAAGAGGGAGCGAGAGGATTCCCTGGTCCAGCGGCTCCAAAAGGCGTTAAAGGAGAACCTGGAGTTTCTGTGAAAGGAAGCACTGGATTCCCGGGACCACAGGGAGTTAAAGGTGAGAGAGGACTTCCGGGACCACCTGGAAAGGATGGACCAGAGGGTCCACCAGGATTGCCTGGATTCACTGGAGAAAAAGGAGATGGCGGTGAACCTGGATTGGATGGTTTACCTGGAGCTCCTGGTGAGAAGGGTGACACTGGTCCAGTTGGTGCTACTGGACCACCTGGAGTACCAGGAATGGCCGGTAGTGATGGAGTTAAAGGTAGGATTTTATTAATTTTTCATCATTTTTATTTACCTAAATTACTTAACAAATAAATTTATTTAATTAAATGTTTTTAGGTGAGCCTGGTCTGACTGGAGAACCGGGTAGAGAAGGTTTACCCGGATTCCCTGGAGCTAAAGGCGAAAGAGGTGAAATTGGCAGTGACGGATCAAAGGGTTATCCTGGAAGAAGAGGAGCTCCTGGTTTACCGGGAACTCCAGGCGAAGAGGGACGTCCTGGTTTGAAGGGTGAAACGGGACCGAAAGGAGACTATGGATTCCCTGGATTGCCAGGAATAGAGGGTAAATCCGGAAGACCCGGATTGCCTGGATTAAAAGGAGATGTTGGTTATCCAGGACCACCGGGTCCACACGGTCCGCACGGATACGAAGGAATGAAGGGAGATCATGGCCCTCCTGGTTTTCCTGTAAGTATCGCAATTTATTTTGGGGGGGTTTTTTTTTTAAATAAAATGACAAATTCTGTAATTTTTGGAATTTAGGGAAGAAAAGGAGAACCAGGTCAGGTTTCGGAAAAGGGGCAAAAGGGAGAGGTTGGTATGCCGGGAATTCGAGGTCCGATGGGACAATCTGGTAGAGACGGTCTGGATGGAATTAAGGGCGAAAGGGGAATGGTGATATTTGGACGAGATGGAGTTCCGGGTGCTAAAGGTGATGCTGGTACACCTGGTCGTCCTGGTTTAATTGGACTTCAAGGGGAAAAAGGCGACGCTGGCGTTCGTGGTTTCGTTGGTCAAAAAGGAGACGCTGTTAGTAATTTAAAACCGAATTTAGTTATTTAATTGATTTAACTGATTTAATTAGTTAATTGATACAATTTTTGTTACGACTTAGGGATTCCCTGGTCTTTCTGGAGAACCTGGAACACCTGGACTTGATGGTCTGCCAGGGGAAAATGGAGAGATTGGACCAATGGGTTCTCCTGGGTTTCCAGGACAAATGGGAGACGTTGGAATACCAGGAGAAGGTGGTTTGGATGGAATGAAAGGAGAACGGGGACCTATAGGTCCGCCTGGTCCATTTGGAATAGTGGGTCCAGAGGGTGAAAAAGGTGATCGTGGACCTCCTGGTTTGACGTTAAATACCAAGGGAATGAAAGGTGAACCAGGTCTTCCTGGACTTCCCGGTGATATTGGACAGAAGGGTGACAGAGGTTTCGATGGAGTGGCAGGATTTGTGGGCGAAAAGGGAGACAGAGGCTCAGTCGGTCTTATAGGAAATCCCGGACCTCCTGGACCAATGGGACCAAAGGGAGATCGAGGTTCAGAGGGACTTCCTGGTCTTCAAGGTGTGACAGTTAAAGGAGAAAAGGGTCTTCCTGGTCGTTTGGGTAAACACGGAAAAGATGGATTCCCAGGAATTCCCGGCGAAAAAGGAGAAGCGGGATTGCCTGGATTACCCGGACACAAGGGTGATCGGGGACCTTATGGTCCAGTTGGTCCACAGGGTGAGAAAGGTGATTTAGGATTATCGGGAGCACCTGGATTGTCTGGTCGGGATGGTGCGCCTGGAATTGAAGGAATGCCTGGACTCACTGGAGAGAGAGGACCAAAGGGAGATCAAGGTCCTCCAGGACCTTTCGGTGTTCCTGGTCAAAAGGGTGATCAAGGAGTCTCAGGTGGGTTTAATCAAGGAACAATAATTAGTAAAAAAAATTAGTTATTGGTAAATAATGAATCTAAATTATTAGGATTGAACGGATTGGATGGTTTGCCTGGTGAAAAGGGAGATAGAGGCTGGAATGGTCCAGATGGAATTCCAGGATTCCCGGGTGAAAAAGGTGATGCTGGCTATCCAGGATCACCTGGTTTGATGGGATCGGTTGGTTTTGTTGGTATTAAAGGAGAAAAGGGAGATGATTGCGAAACAATGCCACCTGGACCAAAGGGAGATCGAGGTTATCCAGGTAAAAATTTTATTTTGAGTATTGAAAACAAATTTAATCAATGAATCATTCGTTATTTAATTATTGGAATCAGGATCCCCTGGAATTCCTGGACTTTCGGGAGAGAAAGGAATGGCAGGACCTCCAGGTTTCCCTGGTAGAGACGGTGCTAAGGGAGAAATTGGCTTTGTTGGTGCACCTGGAACACCTGGATTACCTGGACAACCTGGATTAGATGGACCACCGGGACAAGCTGGACTTTCGGGTACGCCTGGATTCCCTGGAATTAAGGGTGAACAAGGAGCACCATGTGACATTGCTCCTGATTATTTGACGGGAATTTTATTAGTCAAACATAGTCAAAGTCAAACTGTTCCAACTTGTGAACGTGGACATATCAAATTATGGGAGGGTTACAGTCTTCTATTCACTGATGGTGACGAAAGGGCTCACTCTCAAGATTTAGGCAAGTTTTTTTTATTATTTCATTTAAAGTTGTTAAAATTCGTTTCTCTTTTATGAATTTTTATCTTTTTGAAACGATGATTTTATAGTTTGTTTAAACAAATTACTTTTGAAAATCTATCATATGTAGAAACGAGTTTTACAATCCAAGAATTCTGAGAATCGTGATAAATTAATATATTCAAAAGATAATTTGCATTCCTGAATCTTTTTCAATAATTTATTTTTCTAGCGTGTCGAATATAATTTTTTCCCTTTCTAAATTTTGAAAATTAAACGAATCTATAATAATGCGATTTTTTTGTAATTAAAAAAAAAAAACAAAGAAAGATTGCACGTGTTTTTAAAGAGATGAAGTGACATTAGTAAAGAGAGAGACTTTGGTTCCTATATAAACTGACTTGTCCTATAAATTTCTTTGGAACAGGTTATGCTGGCTCATGTGTGAGAAAGTTCTCGACGATGCCGTTCTTGTTCTGCGACGTAAATGACGTCTGTCACTATGCAAGTCGAAATGATCGTTCTTATTGGCTATCCACCAATAGTCCAATACCAATGATGCCTGTTGAAGAGTCAGGCATTGAAGAATATATTTCCAGGTATGTAAACAACATTCTTGTTTTCAAATACCTGATTGTCAACTATTTCACACATGAAAATCACAGAAATGCATTATCATTTCCCCCCAACAATTAATAATTAATAAATAATTATTCATTGTTTATTTCTTCTAGTTTTAAAAGATTCCTACATTCTGATAAGCTCATAATAGATCAATTAATTACTCGGAATTAAAAAATTAATTAATATTCAAATTATTATCATTAACATAATATTGTTACAATAATAATTTATTTATTAAATTAGGAAAATTCTAATTATTTCGCTAATTTCTAATTGAATTTTTTTTTTACAGATGTGTTGTATGTGAAGTGCCAGCAAGTGTAATAGCGGTCCACAGTCAATCAACTGCCATTCCAGAATGTCCAAATGGCTGGTCCAATCTCTGGATTGGATACAGTTTTATAATGGCAAGTGTTACAGTAATTTTTAAATTAATGGAAAAATTCAAAAAAAAGAATTTGAATTGTTTTTTTTGGAAGAATTTCAAAAATTGTGAATTTTAAAAATAATGATTGAATTTTTTTTTTTAGCACACGGGCGCTGGTGCGCAAGGCGGAGGACAATCTTTATCTAGTCCTGGATCCTGTTTAGAGGACTTCCGAGCAGTTCCGTTTATCGAATGTAACGGTGCCAAAGGACACTGCCATTATTATACCAACGAGTACAGTTTTTGGATGGCAACAATCCAAGACAATCAGCAATTCCAGAAGCCTCAAAAAGAGACAATAAAAGCTGGAAATCTACGAAATCGAATAAGTCGATGCGCCGTGTGTTTAAGAAACACATGAGATTGTACACAATTTTTTTAATTATAATTAATTCATTAAAAAAAAGCAAAAGAAATTTTATAATTAATTAATTGAGAAAAGTTTTATAAGAAAATAATTTGCCCGCCAATGGAGGGCAAAGAGTATGAGTCAAAATTAGTTTTAGATTTTATTTTGGATTTTTAGAATCTTTTTTTTTTGTTTGTGAAATATGGACTATTTTTTTTTTTGCCAATTTTTCACTTCTTTATTATCACACACACTCTTTCTCTTTACCCTCCCAAGTCCGCTGCCATTTTTTCCCTCGATTCTCATTCTATTTTTTAATTAATAATTTGTACCATTAAGTGCCTAGAATATTACTTAACATGTAAAATAATATATATATTTATATATCATAAAAAAAAGTCGTATTAAGAGATCAAAGATCATTTATATCGTACTACCACAGACACTGCCCATATTCAATATGGCACATTTACATATTGTATATTAATGTAAACGATCTTAGTCTGGTAATTGCGTGACGCCAAATATTTAAATAAATAGGTATTTTGCTACATAGTCAATAAAATTATATTTTGACATTTTAGCAAAATGAATTTCTTTATTTGTCCCCTCTCTTTAACGGTTTCTTTTTCTTTTAATTATTTTCATATTGAAACAATTGTTTTCAGTTTATAAATGTTTAAATTTGCGAATGTACATTTATTTAATTTTAATATATTGTAAAAAATGATTTTTTTTATCTCTCATTCAAATATGCGATTGTTTTTTTTTTTTTTTTTTTTTTTTTTTTTTTTTTTTTTTTTTTTTTTTTTTTTTTTTTTTTTTTTTTTTTTGAAAAATATGTTTGTTATTTTACAAGGAAACATTGTTGTTTGGAGTTTGCATCTACTTGTGATGCTGGTATTGCCTGGACGACGCCAGTCAGTTTGTCACTGCTGGTATGCAAATGTGGATTGTCAATGAGAGAACACGACTAGAAATTCGAGTGAATTCAATGTTTACGTCGTCCAAATGGTGACGCTACCACTCAACAATCAGGATTGAATTTTTTAATTAGTCTATGGTGTATACAATATATTTTTAATAAAAAAATAAATCAAATCACAAAAAAAAATAATTGTTAAACAATTTAAGGCGGAATTTTTAAATTAATAGAAAACAAAAAAATACATTGATAATTAACAATTTCTAATAATAATAATAATAAAAATAATAATAATAATAAAAATAATAATAATAATAATAATAATAATAATAATAATAATAATGATAATAATAAATAATTTAACCTAATTATTATTCCAAGTGACTAAAGAAATTTAAAGTGTATAAAAAAAATTTCAAATTAGGTTAAATTCAATTTAATTATTATTATTATTATTATTTTATTTGTAATTAATTAATAATTACTTAATTTATAAATAATACTTCTATTTGTAATTAATTATTAATTATTTTATTTACAAATAATTTTTTTTTTCTCAATTAAAAAATGGTGTATCGTCTTTATTTAATTTCACAAATTCTAATTCAAAATTAGATGCAATGAATTAAAATGTTTGTGACTAAAAACCAGTTTTAGTTGCGTCTCATCTAGCAGAAACTATTTATGTTAAATTTTTTTTTCTATCAATTTTTGCGAAATAGTCGAAAATACTTTATAAAAAAAAAATTTTAGTTTCCAAAAAAACATTTTTTTTTTACATAAAAATCTTTAATCTTCATTTTAGTTTTATGTTAACAAATAAAAGAAAAATTCGTTTGTTATTTTAAAAAAAAAAAAAAATATTTGTTTTCAAATTCTGGTCACGTGAACAACATTAGATGTAAATCCTGCTTTCATATCAGAAAAATATTTTTATCACGATTTTCATAAATGCAATTACATCATCTTTAAAACATTACGAGTAGAATATATTTTACAGTTAGAGAAAAATTTAAAAGTGCAATTAAAAAAAAAAAATTTTTTTCAAAAAACGAAAATTACAAAAACAGTTTTAAAAAATCTCTAATAATAAAATGAAATTAAAAAAATAAAATTACAAGAACAGTTTAAAAAATCTGTAATAATAAAATAAAATTAAAATTATTTTTTAATAGAAACATATTTTTAAAAAAAAACCATTAACTGATTTGAAAAAAAAAATACATTGTAATTCTTATTGGTGTGTATCATAACAATAATAATGAGCATTATCGCAATCATGAAAAGTTTAATTAAATAATTCTGTCAACTGGAAATTCCAATAGAGCGAAAATTGAATTTCCATTTTCGCATTTATTTTAAAAATAATTTAAAAAAGTAGAAAAAAAAATATATAAAAATACGTTTGACTTCGTGAATTACTATTTAAATAAAACAATAATGTTCATTAAGTTGTATATTAATTAACAACGAAGCTGAAGTACGTTTATGATAAACGATTTTTAAAGAAATAATTTTTTAAAATGAAAAATTCTGTTTTGCCTAAAAAATATTTTTTTTATAATTTGTTAATTAATGAAAACTATAAGAAATATTTTTTAGGCAAAAAATTATAGAATTTTTCATTTTAAAAAATTAATTCTTTAAAATCGCTTATTATAAACGTTGCGTACTTCAGCTTCGTAATTAACAATCAGCAATATTTATTATTGAAAAATAAAATTATAAATTTTATTTTATTATTTTATTAATTATGCATTATATGTTATATATGTAAAAAATATTTACTATTATTATTATTATTATTATTATTATTATTATTATTATAAATTTCAAATTTTAATTTTTTCCCATGTTTTTTTAATAACAAAAATGATAAAAAAAAATAGTGTGTAAAAAATTGTTTATTTACAAAACGTTGAAAAATATTAAAACCCCTGACTTTTAAAATGACATTCTCTGAAGGAGGTGGGGAGAAATTATAAAACAACAAATAAATTATGACTTCTGGAAAAGTAACTGGTCATCAGGGCCGATAAGAGAGGTGTAAAGAAAGAGGGGATTCAACATTCCAAAGAAATTTTTGAGTTTATAATCTGGCGATTCTGATTGGTTTAAACCGGAGGCTTGTACCTGAACAACATTGTCACACCTCTTTTCTGTCGACGTAATGTTTTTTTTTTCTTTTTTTTTTTGCTTTCAACTGAATTAAAAATTAAATTCCATGAAATTAATTATAAAAGAAGGTGTGGAACCTACCGACCAATCAAAATATGCCCTTCATCTTTTCCTCCTCGTATCCAGTATTTCAAGATCTCGCTCATCTAGTCTTTAGTTTAGTATTCGAAAAGCAACCTTCCTATATTGACACTTTTTTTGGTGTTTTTTTTTTTATTTTTTTGGAATCCTATCAAAAATTTCAAGTGTATTTTTATTATTTGAAGATTAAATAATGATATCTATTTTTTTTTAATGCAATTTTTAATTTGCTTTACGATTTTTATAGGGATTTCAAAGAAAGGGAAACAAATTTTCCGATATATGTAAAATTCTTCTTTTTTTTTTTTTAAATAATGTCTAATAATTTTGGAAGTTCACGCGAAAGATGGAATATTCAGGCATCGAATATTGCAAAAAAAACTTATAATCCAATAAGATCGATTGTGGAAAATATTGTTGTTGATCCAAATCCAAATAAAAAAATGATTGCACTTTCTATTGGTGAGTTCTTTACCGTTTTTTTTTTCGTAATAAAAATTTAGTAAAATTAATTGGGGGAAACAAAAAAATTATTATTTTCTTCTTAATAGTTAAAAAAAATTGAAAATTTTTGGGTTGATTTTCCGCATTAAATTTTGAACTTCGAGAGAAAGAGAGAGAGAGAGAGAGAGCTTTCAATTGCAGCTTTTGCAAGAAAATGAGAAATGAATTTTCGATTAGCGTTATATAGAAAGGATTTGGTGAGAGGAAAATCTAGGTTTGGATTAGTGGCCTGATAGACCCTTCTTGAATCCAATTTCAGAGAACATATCCTCGAATTCGTGTGCATGTTAACTCGATGTTTGTATATGAATAGAAAGTAGCACTTCAAAATCCATTTTATAACGAAACTCAATTACAATCAAAAATCGATCTTTCATTCTCGGTGAGTGTGTCAAGTACTAATAATGTAAATTGTTGAATTTTCAATCGCATTATAAACGTTAATAATTCCAATTAATTATACTCTTTAATTCGACATTCAATATCAATAATTTATTTAGTTTTTTTTTAATTACTTTTTTTATTTCTTTTTTTAAATATAAATATTTATTCACATTTTCTTCGACTTTGCATTTTTTTTATTAATTTTTTAATTATATCAAATTATTTTAATAATTATAATAATTTTATAAATAATTTTATATAAATAATACTATTATAATTTATAAGTATAATAATTGTATAAATAATTATAAATTTTATAAGTATAATAATTGTATAAATAATTATATATTAATAATATTTTTATAATTTATAATTGTTTTTTTTTATTATAAAATTTATAAATATAATAATTACTGATTTATAAGTTGTAATTAAAAATCGCGATTTGAATGATAAATTAAATATTTTTCTTATTTAGTTATCATTTGTCAAATAATTGAGATAGCTTTTATAAATTAAATAGCAAAATTTGCTTTCAAAATTCGGTAATGAACGACAGGGATAAAAGCCATATTTTGAGTGCACCATTAATTATATAGGATTACTATACTATTCCCTAATGTTACACTTTCGCTAATTGATTTTTCTTGTTATTAACATTAAAAATATGTTAACAGGTGATCCAACAACATTTGGGAATTTAAAACCAGCTAAAGAAGTCATTGAGGCTGTTCAAGAAAGTGTTTCTTCGCAATTATATAATGGATATGCGCCTTGTACAGGTAATTTTATTATTAATTATTTTTTTAAATTAATTATTATTAATTTGTTATCAATTGATTAATTATTATTATTAATAATTTATTATTATTGCCTATTTATTATTATTATTATTAATAATTAATTAATATTATTTAATTAATTAATTAATTAAATTATTAATTATTATTTTGTATTATTATCATTATTATTTGTTTATTAAAATTTAAGGAAAATATTTCTTTCTCTTTTTTTAAAATGGAAATCTCCGTTTTTTTTGGTGTAATTTTCCACATTTAAAAAAAATGAAAACATTTTACTTTGATATTTATGTAAAATTGTTGTTTTTCAAGGCTATCAAGCAGCTCGAGAGGCTGTTGCTCATTACAGCTCCAATGAGTTTTTAAAAGTGGATCCTCAGGTATGTTAAAGTTCATTTAATAAAAAATTTGATAATTTTTTTTTTCCTATATCAATTCTTTTTGATAAATTAATTATTTATAACAATTGCCGAATTTTAGTCAATAATACAGTTCCGTTCAATCATTTTTTGTTTCTTAAATTGTATTTTATAATAATAATAATAATAATAATAATAATAATAATAATAAAAATTAAAAAAAAATAATTACAATAATAGTAATTATAATAATAAAATTATAATATTAATAATCGAATCATAAAATTAGTTTAATTTCCCTAAAATCATTAAAATTGACTACTATGGAAAAGTGGAAAATTAATAATCGTTAAACGATAAATTAATTAGTGCTCTATAATAAAGTGTGTATAATTACTAGTGAATTTATAGTCTCACTTAAAGAAGATTTATTTTTTTTTTTCTTATTTTTCTTATTCTGTGCGCAAAATTTTAAGAAGATTTATTCTACTTACAATGAAGTTTCTGAGCTTATCTCTTGCACAGTCTCATTTTCGACTCCTCTGAATTATATATACATATATATATTTAATACTCTATAACCATTCTCCTACATTTTAACATTGGTGTGAATAGAAAGTCGGTTAAGCTATTAATCCTTTGAAAATGAAATTTGATGAGAAAATCGTTTTCTGCCGCGGCGCGAACCTTCAGTGACACAAACCGAAACGTGCTTTTCTATTTTACAAATGTATATATATATATATATATATATATATATATATATATATATATATATATATATATATATATATATATTTATGCATCGAGAGGGAATTTTAATTAAACTTCCGAATTTCATTTTCACAGATTTAATTAAGATTAAACGCAACACGCGCAATTATAATTATATTATTATGGAGAAAAATTTAATTTTTCCATATAACCCTAAAAACTACACTCGTAGGAAAAAAAATTTATTTATTTTTTTTTTTGGTTGAATCAATCAAAAGTTTACTTGGTTCAATTAAATTTATTCTCTAAATTTTAATTAGTGAACATTTCTTTACTAATTTAAATTATAGGGAAAATTTCTACTAATTTTTAGTTGTTTTTCCCTAAAATTTTAGTAGAAAAAAAAATTACTAAATCAAATGCTACACGGAAAAAAAAGAAAAAGTAATTTTTACTACTTTCATAGTAAAACGGAAACTGTCCGAAGTTTCTGCGCATTTCTATCAATTTTTACTTCAAAAATAGTAAAATTTACTATTTTTATTGTAAATTTTACTGTTTCGTAGTAATTTTTACTATTTTTGGAGTAAATTTTACTATTTTTGGAGTAACCCACTTGGAAAGATTCCCCGGAATGTGCCCCCTGGAGGTTCTATCAGATTTCCGCCGGAACTTCCAACGTAATACCGTCGGAATTCCATCGGAGTTCCAAAGAATTTCCGATGGGATTCCGACGGAATACCGATTAATTTTTTTCAAAAACTTTAGAGTCCTAATTCCGTTGGAATTCTGTCAGAATCAGAATTCCGCCGGAACTTCCAACATAATTCCGTCGGAATTCCATCGGAAATTCTTTGGAACTCCGATGGAATTACGTTGGAAGTTTCGGCGGAATTCCGATAGAACCTCCAGGGGGCATTTTCCGGGGAATCTTTCCAAGAGGGAAAAATTGCCAGAGATGAGCAGAAACTTCGGACAGTTACCGTTTTATTATGAAAGTAGTAAAAATTACTTTTTTTTCCGTGTAAATACTAAAATATTACAAATAGTAAATCAAATCAAATACCAAAAATTATAGTGAAATTTTTTTACTTATTTGAATATTATAGTGAACGAATTCTCACTAATTTGAATAAATCAAATTTAAAAAAAATCAAAACATCGTTTTGATACAAGAAAAAAAATGGTATATTTGGTTCAAAAAAATTTTTTCTCCGAGTGTAGAGATTTTTTTTTTTTTTGAAAATAAAAAAAAAATTTTTTTGAGAAAATAAAATGGCAAAATGTTTATAGGATGTAATCCTTTGTAGTGGATGTTCGTGCGCTTTGGATCTTTGCATTACAGCAGTTGCACGCGAAGGACAAAATATATTAATTCCAAAACCAGGTTTTTCGATATATCGAACACTCGCTGAGGGTCTTGGAATTACAGTGAGATCCTACAATCTAAGGGTGAATATATATATCTAAATATAAATTAATCCCGAAATATTCCTTTGTTTATCTCTTGAGAAATCTCATTATATTGTCAAGCGATCTGGAACATTATTCTGAATCGGGGGGAGGGGGGGGGTTTGTTTTAATATATGTAAAATAGTGTTGAGCAATTTAATTAATATATTGAGGAATATTATATTGTCATTTCAGCCCGATTGTGGCTGGGAAATTGATCTCGACAATTTAGAATCACAAATTGATGAATCAACCGCTGCTATTATTATAAATAATCCATCGAATCCATGTGGCTCGGTTTTTAGTCGTAATCATTTACACGATATTCTTGACATTGCTGCCAAATATTATGTACCAATTATTGCTGATGAAATTTACGAGCACATGGTATGTACTGTTTAGTTTTTTTTTTTTTTTGAAAAATTTATTTCAAATTGAAATTTTTTTTTTTGTATTTATATGGAAAATTAAAACTACCATTGATTTTCCACTTGGAAAGATTCCCCGGAAAGTTCACCCTGGAGGTTCTATCAAAATTCCGCCGGAACTACCAACGTAATTCCGTCAGAATTCCATCGGAGTTCCAAAGAATTTCCGATGGGGTTCCGACGGAGTTCCGACGGAAATCCGATTAATTTTTTCAAAATTTTAGAGTCCTAATTCCGTCATAATTCCATCGGAACTCCGTCGGAATTAGGAAATTCTTTGGAACTCCGATGGAATTCCGTCAGAATTCCATCGGAGTTCCAAAGAATTTCCGATGGGGTTCGGACGGAAATCCGATTAATTTTTTCAAAAATTTTAGAGTCCTAATTCCGTCGGAATTCCGTCAGAATCAGAATTCCGCTGGAACTTCCAACGTAATTCCATCGGAGTTCCAAAGAATTTCCTAATTCCGACGGAATTCCGATGGAATTAGGACTCTAAAATTTTGAAAAAATTAATCGGATTTCCGTCGGAACCGCATCGGAAATTCTTTGGAACTCCGATGGAATTCTGACGGAATTCCAAAGAATTTCCTTATTCCGACGGAGTTCCGATGGAATTATGACGGAATTAGGACTCTAAAATTTTGAAAAAATTAATCGGATTTCCGTCGGAACTCCGTCGGAATCCCATCGGAAATTCTTTGGAACTCCGATGGAATTCCTACGGAATTACGTTGGAACTTCCAGCGGAATTCTGATAGAACCTCCAGGGGGCACTTTCCGGAGAATCTTTCCAAGTGGTATTGAACTGGCACAAAAAATTTTGTTTGATTCAAATAATCGATTACTTAAATAAATATTTATTTGAATCAAAAAATAATTAGTTAATACAAATAAATATTTATTAAATATAAAATAATATTTATTTGATAATAGTTAAGTAATCGATTATTTGAATTCAATAAATTTGCAAATCACTGCTTAGCTGATATATGAAAATGCAAAAAAAAAAATACAGAAAACATCTTTAAAAAAAAAAAAACTGTTTTTTAATTAACTCAGGTTTTTCCCGGACGGAAATTTTATTCCTTGGCATCGTTATCAACGGAAGTTCCGATTTTATCCTGCAGTGGCTTAACCAAAAGGTAATTAACGTTTTATCGATTTTAAAAAAAAGGAATTCTACAATATTTTATTATAAATTAAAAAAAAAAAAAAACAATATAAAATTAATATTTTGAAAAAAATACACGCAATTTTTTTTTTCTACTTTCTCTTTGGCCCCGGAGACTGTGGGTCATACAGGCAATAACATAAATTTTCTCGCATATTTTCAATTTTTATTTCCTCTTTTTCTGTGTAGGTTTCTCGTACCTGGGTGGCGAATGGGTTGGATTATTATTCACGACCGGCAGAATATTTTAGGAAAAGAGGTGTGTGTATGTGAGTGTGAGTTTATTTTAATGAAACATGCGGCAAAGTTACAAACTTCTACTATTATAATATTATATAGACTTCGTTTGGGGCAAAAAAGAGAGAAGGGGGGGAGAGTTAGGAAGAAATGAATTTGTGATAAAATAAAGTGAGAGCTTGTTTCGGCGCGAGAGAAATGATTTTCTAAGAAAAAGCTTCCGCGATTAAGAGTTCACTTGCGTTTAAAGATTAATTTCACGATTAAAATTCACCTCGGCCAAGACTCAGACGCTTTCAATGTAATTCACTTTTCCACCAATGAGAATTAAAAGAAATTGTCGAGGATTAAATGGAACTTTTACTTCTGACGAATTGTTCGACTACATATATCTTGGAAAGGGAATTTTAATCCTGCGCGAGGGATTTTTCCAATTTTCTTTCAATTGGTTTTTATTTTTTTTGGATTAAATTTTCCAGCTTTTTGATTTTAATATATTATTATTTCAGAGTCTATTCAAAATAAAACCGCGAAAATAATTATATTTTTTACACAATTTTTTTTTTTTAAAGAATTAATATGAAACGAAAAAATTGATTTTATATTATACTGTGATTGTGAATATAAAAGAGAATTTAATATTTTCTAGATTCGAAAAGGACTGCATTGCTTAACTCAGAGAATAATTGGTAGTAATACGTTAATTCAAGGTGCGCTTCCTCGAATTTTGAGAGAAACGCCACAGAATTATTTCGATGAGATTATCCGAACTTTATATGTAAGTAAATGAAATTACAGAAAAATATATAATATTTAATAGAACTCAATTTTAAATAAAACATTACAATTAAAAATATTCACGATAAAAAATAAATAATAAAAAAATAGAATTAGAAAAAATAATTTATTAAAAATAAAAAAAACTAAAAACTTCAAAAAGAATAGTAAATATTAGAAAATATAAAAATAAAATAAAATTTTTGAATTATTAAAAATTTCAAAATTGTCCATTATTGGAAGAATAAAAAAAAAAAGAATTCATTTTGACAACAAAATAATAAAAACGGAAAAAATCGACAGCAGTAAAATGTTTAATTAAAAATAACGCACACTATACGGGGCTCAATTTTATTATTTAAACTTTGAAGCGAAAAAACAGAATCAGAGATGGCAAAAAATAGCAAATAAAAATTTTCCGAAGGAAATTAATTTCAAACTATGCGGAGAAAATTTACTAAAAAAAAAAAGAAAGGTCCTAGAAAGAGGCAAAATTTGTTTTTCATTAAATAAAATTGTTCTGTATAACAATTTTAATTTTCTAAGGAGAAAAAGAAGAAATATTTTATTTCAAGTAGAAAGAGAAAGATATATTTTTAAGTAGATAAATTTTTTCATGTGAAGGAATAAAAATTATTCTTTAAGTAGAAAAAATCTAGTATTGTCAGACAATATTTAAAGTAGGTGAAGTTGTCTCGTTTAAAGGCAGATTTTATTTTTAAGTAGAAAAAGCAAATTTTGTCAGACATTACATTTAAGTAGATCAAGTTTTTTTTTGCCAGACCACAACATTAATGTTTTTATTTTTAATCAATGATAGTGTCAATATTATTAATAATTATTATTATAAATATTACTATGATAACTAATAATAATTATTAGTCAATTATTTAATAACTAATAATAAATATTAATTAATTATCTAATAACTAATAAGAAATATTAATTAATTATTAATCTAATAACTAAAGAGAATTATTTATTACACGGAAAAAAAGAAAAAATAATTATTACTACTTTCATAGTAAAACGAGAACTGTCCGAAGTTTCTGCGCATCTCTGGCAACATTTACTCCAAAAATAGTAAAAATTACTACCGAATAGTAAAATTTACTACAAAAATAGTAAATTTTACTATTTTTAGAGTAAAAGTTACCATCAGTGATGGGCAAACACTTCGGACAGTTCTCGTTTTACTATGAAAGTAATAAAAATTACTTTTTCTTTTTTTCCGTATACTTATCTAATAATTAATAATTTATAGCTAATTATTTTTTCCTCAAAAACTTACTGGAAAGCAAATAATTTTCTCCGATACTTGAATAAACGATATCGATAATAATAAAACTAATAATAAGATATATTAGGGATAAATAAAGAAACTTATATGTTCGATTATGGTTTTAAAAGAATATCAGATTCGAATCCGTAAAAATGTTCATTGTTGCGGTGTACATAGTGCACGAAGGCAATTCCGGGATATCCGCTTTAGAGACAAGAACTTGTTATTACACACGTAGAACCACGATCGAGCATCCAGACGTGCTACAATAGTTTCAAAGTAACTATGCGCATCAAATAACTACATCCACTTGATAGAATGGACAATTGCAACAAGTTAATGGAACTTGTCTGTCTCATTTAATAATCTTATTCACATATTTGATTGTCACCCATCTCTATACTGTATTTGCAATACAAAATTATCCATTTATCTCTCTCTCTATATATATATAAATATAAGAAAAATTAAAGAAAAATTTAAAAATTTTTGAGTAGTTTTTTATGATGAAAAATGCTTTAATGGTGGAGACAAAGGTCTTCCTCTACTCGTATCAGGCTGTCAATTTTTTTCTACACTTTTATGTATATTTTGTGCAAGAAAATGCAATAAAATAGTCCGCCTAAGAAAAATTGAATTATATTGGGAACTTTTTTATAATTTTGGTTTTTTTGGTAAAATGACTTTTAGGTGGTAATAGGTGTCTTCCTCTACTCGTATTTGGCTGTCAATTTTTTTTTACACTTTTAGGTGTATTTTGTGCAAGAAAATGCAATAAAATAGTCCGCCTAAGAAAAATTGAATTATATTGGGAACTTTTTTATAATTTTGGTTTTTTTGGTAAAATGACTTTTAGGTGGTAATAGGTGTCTTCCTCTACTCGTATTTGGCTGTCAATTTTTTTCTACACTTTTAGGTGTATTTTGTGCAAGAAAATGCAATAAAATAGTCCGCCTAAGAAAAATTGAATTATATTGGGAACTTTTTTATAATTTTGGATTTATGGGTAAAATGACTTTTAGGTGGTAATAGGTGTCTTCCTCTACTCGTATTTGGCTGTCAACTTTTTTCTACACTTTTAGGTGTATTTTGTGCAAGAAAATGCAATAAAATAGTCCGCCTAAGAAAAATTGAATTATATTGGGAACTTTTTTATAATTTTGGTTTTTTTGGTAAAATGACTTTTAGGTGGTAATAGGTGTCTTCCTCTACTCGTATTTGGCTGTCAATTTTTTTTTACACTTTTAGGTGTATTTTGTGCAAGAAAATGCAATAAAATAGTCCGCCTAAGAAAAATTGAATTATATTGGGAACTTTTTTATAATTTTGGTTTTTTTGGTAAAATGACTTTTAGGTGGTAATAGGTGTCTTCCTCTACTCGTATTTGGCTGTCAATTTTTTTCTACACTTTTAGGTGTATTTTGTGCAAGAAAATGCAATAAAATAGTCCGCCTAAGAAAAATTGAATTATATTGGGAACTTTTTTATAATTTTGGTTTTTTTGGTAAAATGACTTTTAGGTGGTAATAGGTGTCTTCCTCTACTCGTATTTGGCTGTCAATTTTTTTCTACACTTTTAGGTGTATTTTGTGCAAGAAAATGCAATAAAATAGTCCGCCTAAGAAAAATTGAGTTATATTGGGAACTTTTTTATAATTTTGGTTTTTTTGGTAAAATGACTTTTAGGTGGTAATAGGTGTCTTCCTCTACTCGTATTTGGCTGTCAATTTTTTTCTACACTTTTAGGTGTATTTTGTGCAAGAAAATGCAATAAAATAGTCCGCCTAAGAAAAATTGAATTATATTGGGAACTTTTTTATAATTTTGGATTTATGGGTAAAATGACTTTTAGGTGGTAATAGGTGTCTTCCTCTACTCGTATTTGGCTGTCAACTTTTTTCTACACTTTTAGGTGTATTTTGTGCAAGAAAATGCAATAAAATAGTCCGCCTAAGAAAAATTGAATTATATTGGGAACTTTTTTTTAATTTTGGTTTTTTTGGTAAAATGACTTTTAGGTGGTAATAGGTGTCTTCCTCTACTCGTATTTGGCTGTCAACTTTTTTCTACACTTTTAGGTGTATTTTGTGCAAGAAAATGCAATAAAATAGTCCGCCTAAGAAAAATTGAATTATATTGGGAACTTTTTTTTAATTTTGGTTTTTTTGGTAAAATGACTTTTAGGTGGTAATAGGTGTCTTCCTCTACTCGTATTTGGCTGTCAATTTTTTTCTACACTTTTATGTGTATTTTGTGCAAGAAAATGCAATAAAATAGTCCGCCTAAGAAAAATTGAGTTATATTGGGAACTTTTTTATAATTTTGGTTTTTTTGGTAAAATGACTTTTAGGTGGTAATAGGTGTCTTCCTCTACTCGTATTTGGCTGTCAATTTTTTTCTACACTTTTAGGTGTATTTTGTGCAAGAAAATGCAATAAAATAGTCCGCCTAAGAAAAATTGAATTATATTGGGAACTTTTTTATAATTTTGGATTTATGGGTAAAATGACTTTTAGGTGGTAATAGGTGTCTTCCTCTACTCGTATTTGGCTGTCAACTTTTTTCTACACTTTTAGGTGTATTTTGTGCAAGAAAATGCAATAAAATAGTCCGCCTAAGAAAAATTGAGTTATATTGGGAACTTTTTTATAATTTTGGTTTTTTTGGTAAAATGACTTTTAGGTGGTAATAGGTGTCTTCCTCTACTCGTATTTGGCTGTCAATTTTTTTCTACACTTTTAGGTGTATTTTGTGCAAGAAAATGCAATAAAATAGTCCGCCTAAGAAAAATTGAGTTATATTGGGAACTTTTTTATAATTTTGGTTTTTTTGGTAAAATGACTTTTAGGTGGTAATAGGTGTCTTCCTCTACTCGTATTTGGCTGTCAATTTTTTTCTACACTTTTAGGTGTATTTTGTGCAAGAAAATGCAATAAAATAGTCCGCCTAAGAAAAATTGAATTATATTGGGAACTTTTTTATAATTTTGGATTTATGGGTAAAATGACTTTTAGGTGGTAATAGGTGTCTTCCTCTACTCGTATTTGGCTGTCAATTTTTTTCTACACTTTTAGGTGTATTTTGTGCAAGAAAATGCAATAAAATAGTCCGCCTAAGAAAAATTGAATTATATTGGGAACTTTTTTATAATTTTGGTTTTTTTGGTAAAATGACTTTTAGGTGGTAATAGGTGTCTTCCTCTACTCGTATTTGGCTGTCAATTTTTTTCTACGCTTTTAGGTGTATTTTGTGCAAGAAAATGCAATAAAATAGTCCGCCTAAGAAAAATTGAATTATATTGGGAACTTTTTTATAATTTTGGATTTATGGGTAAAATGACTTTTAGGTGGTAATAGGTGTCTTCCTCTACTCGTATTTGGCTGTCAACTTTTTTCTACACTTTTAGGTGTATTTTGTGCAAGAAAATGCAATAAAATAGTCCGCCTAAGAAAAATTGAATTATATTGGGAACTTTTTTATAATTTTGGTTTTTTTGGTAAAATGACTTTTAGGTGGTAATAGGTGTCTTCCTCTACTCGTATTTGGCTGTCAATTTTTTTCTACACTTTTAGGTGTATTTTGTGCAAGAAAATGCAATAAAATAGTCCGCCTAAGAAAAATTGAATTATATTGGGAACTTTTTTATAATTTTGGATTTATGGGTAAAATGACTTTTAGGTGGTAATAGGTGTCTTCCTCTACTCGTATTTGGCTGTCAACTTTTTTCTACACTTTTAGGTGTATTTTGTGCAAGAAAATGCAATAAAATAGTCCGCCTAAGAAAAATTGAGTTATATTGGGAACTTTTTTATAATTTTGGTTTTTTTGGTAAAATGACTTTTAGGTGGTAATAGGTGTCTTCCTCTACTCGTATTTGGCTGTCAATTTTTTTCTACACTTTTAGGTGTATTTTGTGCAAGAAAATGCAATAAAATAGTCCGCCTAAGAAAAATTGAATTATATTGGGAACTTTTTTATAATTTTGGTTTTTTTGGTAAAATGACTTTTAGGTGGTAATAGGTGTCTTCCTCTACTCGTATTTGGCTGTCAATTTTTTTCTACACTTTTAGGTGTATTTTGTGCAAGAAAATGCAATAAAATAGTCCGCCTAAGAAAAATTGAGTTATATTGGGAACTTTTTTATAATTTTGGTTTTTTTGGTAAAATGACTTTTAGGTGGTAATAGGTGTCTTCCTCTACTCGTATTTGGCTGTCAATTTTTTTCTACACTTTTAGGTGTATTTTGTGCAAGAAAATGCAATAAAATAGTCCGCCTAAGAAAAATTGAATTATATTGGGAACTTTTTTATAATTTTGGATTTATGGGTAAAATGACTTTTAGGTGGTAATAGGTGTCTTCCTCTACTCGTATTTGGCTGTCAACTTTTTTCTACACTTTTAGGTGTATTTTGTGCAAGAAAATGCAATAAAATAGTCCGCCTAAGAAAAATTGAATTATATTGGGAACTTTTTTTTAATTTTGGTTTTTTTGGTAAAATGACTTTTAGGTGGTAATAGGTGTCTTCCTCTACTCGTATTTGGCTGTCAACTTTTTTCTACACTTTTAGGTGTATTTTGTGCAAGAAAATGCAATAAAATAGTCCGCCTAAGAAAAATTGAATTATATTGGGAACTTTTTTTTAATTTTGGTTTTTTTGGTAAAATGACTTTTAGGTGGTAATAGGTGTCTTCCTCTACTCGTATTTGGCTGTCAATTTTTTTCTACACTTTTATGTGTATTTTGTGCAAGAAAATGCAATAAAATAGTCCGCCTAAGAAAAATTGAGTTATATTGGGAACTTTTTTATAATTTTGGTTTTTTTGGTAAAATGACTTTTAGGTGGTAATAGGTGTCTTCCTCTACTCGTATTTGGCTGTCAATTTTTTTCTACACTTTTAGGTGTATTTTGTGCAAGAAAATGCAATAAAATAGTCCGCCTAAGAAAAATTGAATTATATTGGGAACTTTTTTATAATTTTGGATTTATGGGTAAAATGACTTTTAGGTGGTAATAGGTGTCTTCCTCTACTCGTATTTGGCTGTCAACTTTTTTCTACACTTTTAGGTGTATTTTGTGCAAGAAAATGCAATAAAATAGTCCGCCTAAGAAAAATTGAATTATATTGGGAACTTTTTTTTAATTTTGGTTTTTTTGGTAAAATGACTTTTAGGTGGTAATAGGTGTCTTCCTCTACTCGTATTTGGCTGTCAATTTTTTTCTACACTTTTATGTGTATTTTGTGCAAGAAAATGCAATAAAATAGTCCGCCTAAGAAAAATTGAGTTATATTGGGAACTTTTTTATAATTTTGGTTTTTTTGGTAAAATGACTTTTAGGTGGTAATAGGTGTCTTCCTCTACTCGTATTTGGCTGTCAATTTTTTTCTACACTTTTAGGTGTATTTTGTGCAAGAAAATGCAATAAAATAGTCCGCCTAAGAAAAATTGAATTATATTGGGAACTTTTTTATAATTTTGGATTTATGGGTAAAATGACTTTTAGGTGGTAATAGGTGTCTTCCTCTACTCGTATTTGGCTGTCAACTTTTTTCTACACTTTTAGGTGTATTTTGTGCAAGAAAATGCAATAAAATAGTCCGCCTAAGAAAAATTGAATTATATTGGGAACTTTTTTATAATTTTGGTTTTTTTGGTAAAATGACTTTTAGGTGGTAATAGGTGTCTTCCTCTACTCGTATTTGGCTGTCAATTTTTTTCTACACTTTTAGGTGTATTTTGTGCAAGAAAATGCAATAAAATAGTCCGCCTAAGAAAAATTGAATTATATTGGGAACTTTTTTATAATTTTGGATTTATGGGTAAAATGACTTTTAGGTGGTAATAGGTGTCTTCCTCTACTCGTATTTGGCTGTCAATTTTTTTCTACACTTTTAGGTGTATTTTGTGCAAGAAAATGCAATAAAATAGTCCGCCTAAGAAAAATTGAGTTATATTGGGAACTTTTTTATAATTTTGGTTTTTTTGGTAAAATGACTTTTAGGTGGTAATAGGTGTCTTCCTCTACTCGTATTTGGCTGTCAATTTTTTTCTACACTTTTAGGTGTATTTTGTGCAAGAAAATGCAATAAAATAGTCCGCCTAAGAAAAATTGAATTATATTGGGAACTTTTTTATAATTTTGGATTTATGGGTAAAATGACTTTTAGGTGGTAATAGGTGTCTTCCTCTACTCGTATTTGGCTGTCAACTTTTTTCTACACTTTTAGGTGTATTTTGTGCAAGAAAATGCAATAAAATAGTCCGCCTAAGAAAAATTGAATTATATTGGGAACTTTTTTATAATTTTGGATTTATGGGTAAAATGACTTTTAGGTGGTAATAGGTGTCTTCCTCTACTCGTATTTGGCTGTCAATTTTTTTCTACACTTTTAGGTGTATTTTGTGCAAGAAAATGCAATAAAATAGTCCGCCTAAGAAAAATTGAATTATATTGGGAACTTTTTTTTAATTTTGGTTTTTTTGGTAAAATGACTTTTAGGTGGTAATAGGTGTCTTCCTCTACTCGTATTTGGCTGTCAATTTTTTTCTACACTTTTATGTGTATTTTGTGCAAGAAAATGCAATAAAATAGTCCGCCTAAGAAAAATTGAATTATATTGGGAACTTTTTTATAATTTTGGTTTTTTTGGTAAAATGACTTTTAGGTGGTAATAGGTGTCTTCCTCTACTCGTATTTGGCTGTCAATTTTTTTCTACACTTTTATGTGTATTTTGTGCAAGAAAATGCAATAAAATAGTCCGCCTAAGAAAAATTGAATTATATTGGGAACTTTTTTATAATTTTGGTTTTTTTGGTAAAATGACTTTTAGGTGGTAATAGGTGTCTTCCTCTACTCGTATTTGGCTGTCAATTTTTTTCTACACTTTTAGGTGTATTTTGTGCAAGAAAATGCAATAAAATAGTCCGCCTAAGAAAAATTGAATTATATTGGGAACTTTTTTTTAATTTTGGTTTTTTTGGTAAAATGACTTTTAGGTGGTAATAGGTGTCTTCCTCTACTCGTATTTGGCTGTCAATTTTTTTCTACACTTTTAGGTGTATTTTGTGCAAGAAAATGCAATAAAATAGTCCGCCTAAGAAAAATTGAGTTATATTGGGAACTTTTTTATAATTTTGGTTTTTTTGGTAAAATGACTTTTAGGTGGTAATAGGTGTCTTCCTCTACTCGTATTTGGCTGTCAATTTTTTTCTACACTTTTAGGTGTATTTTGTGCAAGAAAATGCAATAAAATAGTCCGCCTAAGAAAAATTGAATTATATTGGGAACTTTTTTATAATTTTGGATTTATGGGTAAAATGACTTTTAGGTGGTAATAGGTGTCTTCCTCTACTCGTATTTGGCTGTCAATTTTTTTCTACACTTTTAGGTGTATTTTGTGCAAGAAAATGCAATAAAATAGTCCGCCTAAGAAAAATTGAATTATATTGGGAACTTTTTTATAATTTTGGATTTATGGGTAAAATGACTTTTAGGTGGTAATAGGTGTCTTCCTCTACTCGTATTTGGCTGTCAACTTTTTTCTACACTTTTAGGTGTATTTTGTGCAAGAAAATGCAATAAAATAGTCCGCCTAAGAAAAATTGAATTATATTGGGAACTTTTTTATAATTTTGGATTTATGGGTAAAATGACTTTTAGGTGGTAATAGGTGTCTTCCTCTACTCGTATTTGGCTGTCAATTTTTTTCTACACTTTTAGGTGTATTTTGTGCAAGAAAATGCAATAAAATAGTCCGCCTAAGAAAAATTGAATTATATTGGGAACTTTTTTATAATTTTGGATTTATGGGTAAAATGACTTTTAGGTGGTAATAGGTGTCTTCCTCTACTCGTATTTGGCTGTCAACTTTTTTCTACACTTTTAGGTGTATTTTGTGCAAGAAAATGCAATAAAATAGTCCGCCTAAGAAAAATTGAATTATATTGGGAACTTTTTTATAATTTTGGATTTATGGGTAAAATGACTTTTAGGTGGTAATAGGTGTCTTCCTCTACTCGTATTTGGCTGTCAACTTTTTTCTACACTTTTAGGTGTATTTTGTGCAAGAAAATGCAATAAAATAGTCCGCCTAAGAAAAATTGAAATATATTGGGAACTTTTTTTTTACGATACACGTTTTGAAGGTATTTAAAGGTACACAGAAAATTAAAAGGCATTAAAATAAGCTGCAACGCTTATTATTTTAATCCAATTTTGCTTATTTTAATACCAAAATGGATTAAAATAAGCAAAATTGGATTAAAATAATAAGCGTTGCAGCTTATTTTAATGCCTTTTAATTTTCTGTGTATATTTCTTATTTCATAATAAGTTTGTTTACATGTATATAAATAAATAAATAAATAATAATAGTAATAATAGTAAAAAAATAATAAAAAAATAATTAAAGTAATAGTAAAAAATAACACGTAATAAATTCTTTACCTGGAACAGCGAAATGTTTCACTAAAACAGTGTAAGTTTTTGCTGTTCTAAAGATACTTATCGCTGTTCCAAATAAAAAAATTTTCCGTGAATAATATATAATATTAATAATAATAATAATAATAATAATAATAATAAATATAAACAAATAATAATGATAATAATAGTAATTGAATAAATTTGAATATGAAAATCGAAGAAAATATGCTATTTCTTTTGTGAAATATGAAATGGAGAAATGAATATGAAAATCAGGACAATTACTCGTGATTATTGATTTTTGTTATAGCGATGCAATAAGAGAATGTTGATGAACAAACACAAATGATGATAATTGAAGTTAAAACATAAACTATATACTGTCGTACTAAAACACGACACTAAATTTGCATTTTAATTTTACTCAAATTTTTCTTATTTTTCTTTTTATTCTATTTGCAGAATCACTCAAAGTTAACGTATAATTACATCGTAAATATTCCAGGACTTAAACCAATCATGCCAGACGGCGCCATGTATATGATGGTAAAATTTTAACATTATATATGTTATTTATGTAATATTTAATCGTGCGTGTACATATGAGTTAATTAAAACTGACAAAATTCCTTTTGTCTTCTCCTCAATTAATTAATTAAACTGTTATGACCTTTTGTTTAAAATATATATATACGATAATTTTAAATTATAATTATTCCACCTAATTTGAATGTAACTAAATACTTAATATTTTATCGAAATTAAATTTATATATATACCAATATGCTGTAGGTGATTTAATTAAAATTTCCTTTAACTTTCAACTAATTTTGTTAATTATTTTCCAGGTACAAATTGATTTGAATTCATTTCCGGAATTTCAATCGGATCTTGAATTTGTGCAACGATTATTAGCAGAGGAATCAGTTTTTTGTCTTCCTGGATTGGTATAATAAAAGAATCTTTTAATTTTTTTCAAAGTTTTTTCTTTAAAACTGACCTTTAAAATTAGATTCATTTAAATTTATTTGTGATGCTGATCCAGATAAAAATTTTTTATGGAAAGTGCACAAAAATTTTCTATAAAAATTCCATAGAAATTTCACCAAGTTTTATATGGAATTTCTATGAAACTTCTATGGACTTTCCATCAAGTTTACATGGACTTTTCATGTAACTGTGTAATTGAATTTCATTTCGAAAATTCATGGAAAATCCATGGAATTTTTATGGACAGTCCATTGATTGAATTTTCTTATAAAACTGTTGAAAATTATATGGAAATTTGATAAAAATTCTTTCCATAGAAATTCCATGTAAAAATGTAATTTTTATGAAAAGTCAATGGAAATTTATATGCAGGTAATTAATTAACTTTAATTAATTTGAATCAATTTAATATTATCAAGTTAAATGTGTAATTGAATTTACTTTGAAAAATTGATGAAGGAAATTGTACTTTCCATGGAAAGTTCATGGAATCTTTATGAAAATTCCATCGATTGGATTTCTTTGGAAAACTGTTGGAAAATCTATGAAAATTTAATGAAAATTCCATGTAAATTTAATGGAAAGTCTATGGAAATTTGATAGTTAATGGAAAATCTCTGGAAATTTTATGGAAAATTCATAGTAAATGATATGAAAATTTAATGAAAATTCCATGTAAATTTAATGAAAAGTCCAGAAAAATTCCATTTTATGGAATTTTTTTTAGAAAAATTCATGGAAATTTGATGTTATTTCTAGGGAATTTTCTTGAAAATTTCTCGAGGCACTTCACGGTGGAATTTTTTTTTTCACATGAACTTCAGCATTGTATTTTTATTTTACTATAAATAAAAATCTATCTTTCAAAAAAATCATTTTAATAATGAAAAAATATATATTTTTTAAAACAATTTTTAATAATTCCTTTTGTTTGTAAATAAATTAATCTAAATTATCTCCTAATTTTTTCCACTATTTTGATTCTTTTTTTTCAAATTTTAAATTAAAATTTTATTTTTTTTTTCAAATTTTCTTTGTTTTAGTGCTTTGATTATCCATCCTATATGAGACTGGTAATTACACTACCGATAGAAATGTTGGAGGAGGCATGCAACAGAATTGAACAATTTTGCATGAGGCATCACATCAAAACTTCTCAATCGAGAAATTCTCTAGATGGCATTGTCATTCCATATTAGGCACCATATATATAATATAATAAATATCATATTATGATAATATAAGCTATCTCTAAATTCCTATATCTTAAGTTTGTACATAGTTGTAAACATTTTTTTTTTATATATAAATTGTTCTAGTGTGATTAAATACATAAGATTTTTTTTTTTTTCCTACAAAATATGTGTTCTATTTTTATCTCCTGAAACTATTTTCGCAATGTACAATAATTTATCATTCAAAAGTTCGCGCATGGAAATTTTTCTCATAAATTATTATTATTCTTTTGCATCTTTTATATGTATATATATACACTATTATATAAAAAGACGCGAAAAAGAATTATATAAAATACGATAAAAGAATAAAAATCGCGAATTTAGAGATAAAATCCTAAAATAACAAATTCTCGATATGTATATGAAAACGAGATTTCTAAAAAATAATTATAGTCATTATTATGTAAAATTCATTATTGAAATGAAAATATTTTTTAAAATCATTAAAAAATGATTATTTTCTTTTTTGAACCACAAATTTAAAAAATCGTACCATCAGTGAATAGAAAAAATGAATGGAAGAATTCCTTTACAGAGAGGAAAGGGGGGACCGCCCATTATAAATATATATATAGTGAATAATATATAATGTACACAAAACTATGTTGCGCAGTGCAAGCTCATTTGTGCACGCGAAATGATGAGTTCAGTCCATAAGCCAATTATAAAGTACACGGACATAATAAGCCACAGCAGTGTATCTATGAAAGTTTCGCGACCACAATGCCTCTATAAACCGGAAGTATAATATATAGTCACAAATATTCTAGACATAATTTAAATCGTACAACTTTCTCAAAACATTCAATTATACGATTAAACTTTCTTATCTTCTATATATATTCTCTAAATTTGAATTAGTGAGAATTCGTTCACTAATTTAAATTAGCAAAGATTTACACTTTTTAGTTATTTTTCATTTTACTAAAAATGTAATAAAAAAAAAATATTATTGTATCAAATAGTAATATTTTATTAAAAAATTCATGAAAATTTCTACTAATTTTTTAGTCATTTTTCACTTAAACTTTAGTAAAATTTTTACTAATTCAAATTTAGAGAGTACGGCATTATTTATTTAATTTATAAATCAATTTATTGTAATTGATTTTAGATGAAAAATTTTCATTTAACATTTAATATTATAATTAAATAATAATACGAATATATAATTGACTCATGAACTGTTTCATAAATTAAATAAGAATTGGGTTAAATAAAAAAAAAAAAATGACTCACCGATTGTAGAATCCGTTTGGGACCGTTTTTCTTCATCTTTCCTCTTCTTCAGGTTATCAGGAAATAGACTGAAAATTAAAAAAATTCATTAATTCTATTACACAGGTAGTTCTGAATTGTATATATATACAAAAAAAATTTATTTGATTCCAATAAATCGGTTACTTTACTATTATCAAATAAATATTTATTTGATAAATAGTAACAAATTATTTGAGTCAAATAAATTTTTTTTTCAATGTATCCAAAATTTGAAAAAATTGTTATACTATCAGTATTTAATCTATTAATATAATAAATAATTAATAATATTAATAATAATAATAATAAAAATAATAATAATAATAAATAATAATTTGAATAAATACTATTATAATATGAATATAACTTGGCTTATAGAAAATAAATCAGTTTTATCCACAAAATTTAAATTTGTCTTGATAAAATTAAAAATTAAAAAAGCAAACTCATACAGAGTGACACACGGCGAGTGTTTTTATGAAAAATATTATTTTTATGTTACGTGTATGTACTTTTGTTTTCATGTAAAGAACAGGTGTTCAACTCGACTCGTGTCAGTTAAAATGAGCGATGGAGGCGTGGTAAAATGCAATTTTTCTTCTTATAATGCATTTTTATTGTTTTATTTATATATATATATATTTTTTAAACTCTCCGAGACATTTTAAGTTAAATTGTGGGTTGTGCTTTATGACCCATATTGTATGTTTTCCCATTGACCCGGAATTAAGCCATTTTATTCAATGAAAAAAGATTAATTTTTTTTTTTTTAAATCAATCATGAATCATTTTTAGATTACAATATTCATATTGTAAAATTGTTATTTAGATTGAATAACTAAAATTTACAATAAGTTTCAGAAAACGATTTTATTATAGAGTCGATTCTTTTTGAAAATAATTTTTTTTTTCAAATGCAAAAAAAATTGCATTCATATATTGTCACGTATATATGTGAAAGGGAATATTTCAATTTATCTTCATCTCTACCAGTCAGTTGATAACCTATTGTTTAATTTTTTTTTTCTTTTTTTTTTTTACTAGTCAGTTTCCATTTTCACGTTTTTATTGGAATTAAATTTTTATCATTGAGTTTAAAGAATATTATTGATATTCAGAAAAATTGTTTTTTACAAAAATTTATTTTTTGTCATTATCAAAAAACAATAAAAACAAATTTTACCTTCATTTTGATGGTGACAAATTTTTTTGATTTTTAATAATATTTTATAAACAAATTAATCCACGTTTATTAAATTATTGAAATTAAGAAATGAATATATTTTCTATCAATTCGTCAAACAAATTTTTATAGTATTAATTATTATGAAACAAGGGCGAAAAATAATTGTTAATATTAAAAAAAAGGGAATTGAAAAAAAATCTTCAAATTTATTGACTAAATCGTGTAAATATTATAATTAATTATTAACAAACTTAAGAGCTTCTGGTGATAAAGTTATTCTTCGAAGATATGTGCTTTAACATAAACCTAAAATTTTAGATTGTAAACGGCCTTGAAACTTATAAATAATTAATTTTCTTAGAGTGTATCTTGAACAATGCTCTTCAAAATAAGGAATAAATGCAGAAAATAAAATCTGACAAACTATCGTATAGTTGAAGTAAAAAATAAATAGGGGCAAAAAAAACTCCCAAAATAAATAAATAATAAATAAAATAAATAATAATTTGCAAAATAAATAAAAATTGAATTAAAAAAAAAATTATATTCTCTTTGAAAATTCGCTTAAACTTTGTAAATTCTAAATAAATAGAAATTCGGCCCAATGCGTGAAATTAGAGTTTTTTACATGCGCAGTAGATCCAAATACGATTTTCTCCTGCGCAGTAAGTAAATAAAGTATCAAATAATAAATAAAAATAAATAAAATAAATAATAATTTGCAAAATAAATAAAAATTAAATTAAAAAGAAATAATTCTCTTTCAAAATTCTGATTAAACAGAAATTCGGCCCAAAGCGCGGAGTTAGAGTTTTTCACCTGCGCAGTAGATCCAAATACGATTTTCTCCTGCGCAATAAGTAAATAAAGTATCAAATAATAAATAAAAATTAATAAAATAAATAATAATTTGCAAATACAAATAAAAATTAAATTAAAAAGAAATAATTCTCTTTCAAAATTCTAATTAAACAGAAATTCGGCCCAAAGCGCGGAGTTAGAGTTTTTCACCTGCGCAGTAGATCCAAATACGATTTTATCCTGCGCAATAAGTAAATAAAGTATCAAATAATAAATAAAAATTAATAAAATAAATAATAATTTGCAAAACAAATAAAAATTAAATTAAAAAGAAATAATTCTCTTTCAAAATTCTTATTAAACAGAAATTCGGCCCAAAGCGCGGAGTTAAGAGTTTTTTACCTGCGCAGTAGATCCAAATACGATTTTCTCCTGCGCAGTAGATAAAAATCGCACCTAAACTACATTATAATTATTTTTTAACGCCCATCGTCAATTAAAACAACGTTTTTTCAAATTTTTCTCAAAAAATTCTTCTAAAAATGCAATTTATAGTTTGAAAGGCAATTTCACGCACGTTTTAGGTATATTTAGCTGCACGTAAATGTAAATTTACGTGAGTGTATTGATGTGTGGCCATGTTCAGAAATGTTAAACAGGCGCTCTCAGGTGTATGTATACATATGTATGTACAACACTTGGAGTGACGTGGAAGGTGACTGGCATGAAGTGGTCGTTTCCTGTTGGCTTGTGAATGCTACCCCTTTCACCCCACCCCCCCAATTCTCCAGAAACTTTTGACTTGAAACTGAAATAGGGGGTTTAGGTGCGATGCTCGAGGCGTTGAATTATACTCGAAAATAAGGGCACAGTTCGCGCATATAATGACGGCAATCCTATCGAGTCGCGCAGTGATCGCGACACGTAACCGTGAACTCTAAGGTTTAAGGAAGCTTTATATACAGCTAAGGGGGAATTTCTCAACCCCTCCTACTCCAAATGGGGTGGAAAATCGACATCGTATAGCCAAAAGGCGTCGCGACGCTTACATAAGGATTTATCTAAGTGGCAATTGATCGTGTCATTTTTCAAAAAAAAAAAAAAAAAAAAAGTTCTAGCGCAAGTATTACAGGGTTCTACAAAAAAAGGCTTAAACTTGCAAAAATGAAAAAAAAAAAAAAACCACCGTTGAACTTTATTTCCCCGAGTACAATTTCTCTTTTTAACGGAAAATTTATTGCGGCAAGAAAGACAAATTTAAGTAAGGGAATCGATCGTGACATTTTTATTTAAGGTAGCGCAGTTTTAAAAGGCTTCTCGAAAAAAAAGTACCGCGAGAAATAAAAGAGAAGATAAAACTTGTAATTTATATATATATATTTTTTTTATGTCATATTTGATTTACGTATAACAATTTATTTAATATTTGTATAGAGTAAAAATTAATTTCTCTTTTATTTCAAGATTTCATTTGCTCAAAGAAAATATTTATTAGATATTATTTTTTTAACAATTAAAATAAGTATTTTTTTTAAAACTACAGCCAATATTTACACGGTCTATCAATAAAATTTAATAGATGAATAGAAAATATTGTTCATAAATTAGGTCAAAGAGATTGAATATTAGTACTGGAGGAAAGAAAAAAAATTATTTCAAGAATCAGTGGCATGTTAAATTGAAATCGCGGGGGTAAAAAAACTATTTTAAAAACATGAAATTATTTTAAATGGAAAATTATATATTCTTCAAAAAAAGAAAAGAAAAAGACTTACCCTTAATGTCTGAATAAACAGAAGGTAAATTTTTCCTTTCCATCGATATATATAGAAATCATACTGGATTTTATTCACTTTCCTGAAAAATAAAACAAACACATTGGTAAATAAATAAATCAATTCCGATTAATTAACTTTTATGGAATAAAGAACCTCAATTTAAAAAATCAACTTGAAATATATTAAATAAAATATTAATACAGTCATTTTAATTTAGAAATATCGTAAATTTTATAAGATTTCTTAATTGTAACTATCACTATATTTTTAACTTAGAAAAAATTTTCAACTTTGAAGTATACTAAACTTTGGAATATCCTAAACTTTGGAATATTCTCAAGTTGAAAATATCCTAAACTTTGGAATATCCTAAACTTTAAAATATTCTCAAGTTGAAAATGTCCTAAACTTTGGAATATCCTAAACTTAGGAATATTCTCAAGTTGAAAATATCCTAAACTTTGGAATATCCTAAACTTAGGAATATTCTCAAGTTGAAAATATCCTAAACTTTGGAATATCCTAAACTTTGAAATATTCTCAAGTTGAAAATCTCATAAACTTTGGAATATCCTCAACTTAGGAATATTCTCAAGTTGAAAATGTCCTAAACTTTGGAATATCCTCAAGTTGAAAATATCCTAAACTTTGAAATATTCTCAAGTTGAAAATGTCCTAAACTTTGGAATATCCTCAACTTAGGAATATTCTCAAGTTGAAAATGTTCTAACCTTTGGAATATTCTTAAGTTTGAAAATGTTTTAAACTTTGAAATATTCTCATATTGAAAGTGTCCTCAACTTTGGAATATCCCACACTTGGAATATTCTCAAGTAGAAAATGTCCTAAACTTTGGAATATCATCAACTTTTAAGTATTCTAAAGTTTGGAATTTAAAAAATTTGAAGGTATTCTAAACTTTGGAATATCATTAACTTGTAAATATCCTAAATTTTTATATATCATCAACTTGTAAATATCCTATATATTTTGGAATTTCCAAAAGTTAAAAATATCCTAAACTTTGGAATATCTACAACCTAAATATATCCTAAACTTTCGAATATCATCAACTTGTAAATATCCTATACAATTTGGAATATCAAAAATTTCAGAGTATTCTACTTTCTGGATCATCCTAAACGTGTAATTATCCTGAACTTTGGAATTTCCAAACGTACAAATTATTCTAAACTTTGGAATTTCAAAGTGTGGAATATATCCTGAAGGTTGAATAATCCTTAACTTGTAAATATCCTAAACTTTGGAATTTCCAAATGTTGAAAGTATTCTGAACTTTGGAATAACGGAAAGTTGACTATATCCTGAAGTTTGGAATATCCTCAACTTGAAAATATCCCAAAACTTTGGAATATAATCAATTTATAAATATCCCATACATTTTGGAATACCAAAAAGTTCAGAACTTTCTAAACTTTGGATTATCCTCAACTTGTATAAATATCCTAAACTTTGGAATTTCCAAAAGTTAAAAGTACTCTGAACTTTGAATTATCCAAAAGTTGAAAGTACTCTGAACTTTGAATTATCCAAAAGTTGAAAATATCCTAAACTTTGGAATATCTTCAATCTATAAATATTCTAAACTGTTTTTTTTATAGCCAATGTCAAAAATATCCCAAATTTTTGTACAATCAGATACCGAAAAATATCCCCAACTTAAAAGTATCCAAAACTTGTGGAAATATTTTCAAACAATTCTAAACTTTAAATTAACCCTAAACACAAAACAAACCCTAATCTCGTAAACACATCAAAATCTCAAAAAATCAAATACACCATTGCACATTGGTTGTGCAATCATAACAAGTGTTACACACTTTTTGAACACAATTTAAATGCGTACTCATACATTCTTTTTTTTTTTTTTTTGTTTTGCTGCAGCCCCCCTTTGAGCAGAGACAAACCCTCATTACTTTACATTTACATGGGGAGAAGAATTGCATACACCCGCATGTTTCAACACACATACATTTTTGCAAGGAAGAAGACTCTCTCTCTCTCACACACACATTGTAAGCCTCAACCCCTCACGTGTGCACGAGCCAACAAGGGAATCAGAAGGGGAAAAGGTGGATGGGGGGACGTCGACTCGGGCACGGGTCGCGCTAACAGAGGGTGAGGGGTGACGACGCGACGGGTATCGGCTTTGCGCGCATTTGAGGGGGTTGGGGGTCCGACTCTACTACCTCTCAGGAGGGGGTCGTTGGGCTAAAATGTAGAGAGGGGGGGGGACGACGACAAAGAGAGCGTCGTACGCGCAGCCATAGCGCAGAGGGGTGAACCAGAGAGAGAGAAAGAGACAAAGAGAGGGAGGAGAGAGAGTGAGAGTGAGAGAGAGAAAGGGAACTGGCACGCTCAACGGAACAGCTCCACTATGAGTTTTATACAACGATCTGGGATGCCCGTTTAGGTAGTGGTCCGCGCCCCACAGCCGCGACAACTTGGACCGGCGCTTGTTCGCGAGAGACATATATTATAGAAAAAATCAAACGACGACGACGCCCTCTATATCCCTCCTATATCGACCCTCCACGAGTCTCAACAATTTTCTATACACACACATATATATATATATATAATATTGTAACAAAAGGTGCAAATTCCTGTGTGCGGGCAACCACGCGTGTGCCAAGTGTGTATTTTTTTTTTTGAAATCCCATTTTTGCAAAAAAATAAAAGAGAGGTTTTTATTTATTTATTTTTTCTCGTGTGTGTGTGTCTCAACAGCGGATAACCGGCGAATGATCCAGGTAGGATTACCGAAGAATATTTTGTTATATTTGCAAAAAAAAAAAAAAAAAATTTTTTTCAGTGATATTTTTCAAGTGATTCAAAAAGGATTTTTGCGGCCATTAGGCGCAGGCAAAGCGCGCTATTTTCGTTGATGAAAATGATGAATGCGCCGGTTACCCGGCGCACGGATTCAGGGACGAATATTTGGAATTTTGAAAAATTGTAATTTTGAAAAAGAAAAAAAAAGAAATGAAGATTTGAACACACGTGTGTGCAAAAAGATATTTTTCTAAAAATATACAAATTGCCTGACGAAGGGGAAAACCCCATGCTTTTGTTTGGCTATATTTGAAGTGTCAGTGACTGCTTTTGCGTTTCTGGAAACGATTACTGTCAAAAATTACTACAATTACTATCGATTACTATCAACTACTACAAATTACTATAAATACTAAAAATTACTATAAATACTATAAATACTATAAATACTATAAATACTATAATTACTATAAATACTAGAAATTACTATAAATTACTACAACTTACAAATGAGAAATAAATATTTTTTTCTCTAAACAATTTTTTCAATATGAAAATGATATTCGAATGAGGAACTTGAAAAAAAGAAGATTGTGAATTGAAAGAAATTTAAAAAATTATCATGGAATCTAGAAACTATTTTACCTTGCTCTAATTCTGTTATTTCGTAACAATTATTATTTCTGTTCTAAGGGTTAATGCTTCCAAGAGTGTAAAGACCCTATATGCTATTGATATCCGCTTTGTGATACAATCTATATTTTCAAGAGTATTATCCTCTGAAGGTTCGCTACATACAATAGCATATATATATATATGACGCAACTTAGTAGATGAGAAACTTGCATATTATACACAATATGCATTCAAAGATCAAGATGCATTTGAAAAATGAAACATTTTTATTAAAAATAAAAGAATAGAAATATTCATCAATGTATCTTCAAAGCAGTATGTAAATTTCTGTATAAAAATGGAAAATATAAAAGTAAAATGGTTCAAGAATTATTTGTAGATGAACTTTTGAGATATAAGTTATTTTTTGGAAAAAAGGGGAGAATTTTGAAAAATTTATTTCAATGACAATGATTGTAATGTATATTGAGTATACAATATTTTAACATGGTACAATTTTATGAGGAATAAATCCAAAAAGTGGAAATAAAAAATAAATATAAAAAATATGTTTAACACATTCAGATAGAGATATGATGCTGAATCAACAAAAAGCAATAAAAAATAATTCAAAAATGTTAATTTCTCCTAAATTCTACACGAAAAAAATCAAAAAATTTAGTGGGATGAAAATTATTCGAATACCCAGAGAAAAGATATATTTGTCTCAGTGCAAAATAAATATTTATTACAAATTCTATAGTTAATAAATAATATTTGCTTTTGGCGAAAACAAAAATTCAATAGAATATTTTTCAGCATATACAGAAACGCTTTTGAATCAATGTATATAATTTATGCCTTTTTTTGGGAACAAATGTTGTTGCTTTAATAATATATTTTTTTTTAAATCTGTTAGTTTAAAATGTATTTTTTTCATACAAAAAAAAAAAGTATTGAAATATTTAATATTGTACTCAACATAACAAAAGGAATAATGGAATATTGTATATACTGAACACAATACTAGATTATATAGAATATTATACAGACAACATCGATCATCGTAATGTAAAATCACAACATATATATGAGATAAATTTTTTTCAATGAAAATTCTCATAACTATCAACAATGAAAAATTAAATTTCCATAAACAAAAAAGATTGTCAAACAAATCATCAGTGAATAAACTATATAAATATAGAAAAATATTCATTATTAAAGGATTATTAAGGAATTATTAATGGATTGTTAAGGGATTATTAATAGATTATTAATTGAATATTAATAATTAATATTAACATTAATATTAGATAATTATTAATAATATTAATATCCATTAATATTCCACTAATAAATCCGTTAATTTAAAAGAAAATCCGTACCCGATTTTTAAAGAAAGAAGGATGCTGGCAACGATAAAAATTATTTTTCAAAGTGGTATTATTTTCATTATTTAAACAATTGACGGTGTGTAAAGTGTAAATTTTGATGAATTTGATAACGAGGGTGCTTTTGTTGGTTAAGTTTAACAACCAGTTTTAGATTCAAGGGGGTTTTATGGGGTTAACAGGAGGCGCCACCAGGGTAGTGACTTTATCTCCCTCACAGGTATAACGACAGGTGCAGCACGTAGTGCCATTTGGAAAGTCGTGTTACATTAAACCGCAAATTCAACAGAGAGATGAGACTTGATATAGATATTAGAGAATAGAATAGGGAAGCTGAGTGTTTTTTTTTCAAACATATATATATATATATTTTTTCTTCACCTGTGCGTTATTCCACCTGCGCCAATGGCGGTGTCGCAGAACCTCCTTAGGTTCTCTTACACACCCCCTCAAACAGGATTATTGATTTTGCCGAAGTAAGGAGGAACGAATCCAACATAGCACGCCCTTCGGGACACTCTTTCTTTCTTGCCCTTGATCCACTGGGGAAAAAGGGATTCGCTTTCTCTAATTTTCCGGGGGGCATTGAGCGAGGATGGGGGGTGGTGGGGTGGTTTGAACACTAATGTTATATTATCATTTAATTTGACGCTGATGATTGAATATTTCAAATATGAAATGAGATTTAGAAAAAAAATTTCAAATAATCCATTGGTTAATTTTTTTTAATAAACATTATTGAAAAATTATTTATTGTAGATTCAAACGTTTGTAATATTGCAAAGTTTGAAATATTCCTAAAGTTTGAAAAAATTTCAATGTTTGAGATTTATCTATGTTTCAAAGTTATTTTTAGATCAAAACTTTGGGGTATTTTCCAAGTTATTATTTCTAATTTAGGGATAATTGTGATATTCCAAAGTTTAGGATATTTCAAATTTTGAGATATTATCTAACATTTTCATGTATAGTCGAATGTTTAGGATATTTTTAACTTTTGGATATTCCAAAATTTAGGATTATTTAAAAGTTGAGCATATTCTAAACTTCAGGATATATTCAACTTTACAATATTCCAAAGTTTGGAATACTTTTGACTTTGGATATTCCAAAGTTTAGGATATTTACAAATTGGTGATATTCCAAATTTTGGAATACTTTCGATTATTTTTGGATATTCCAAACTTTGTAATACTTTCGACTATTGGATATTCCAAAGTTTAGGATATTTACAAGTTGATGATATTCCAAAGTTTAGCAGATTATTAAGTTACGGATATTTACAAGTTGATAATATTCCAAAATTTAGGAATTTAATAAGTTAAATATATTCTAAAGTTTAGAATACATTTAATTTCTGAATATTCCAAAGTTTAGGATATTTACAAGTTAATGATATTCCAAAGTTTAGGAGATTATTAAGTTACGGATATTTACAAGTTGATAATATTCCAAAGTTTAGGAAATTAATAAATTAAATATATTATAAAGTTTAGAATAAATTTAATTTTTGAATATTCCAAAGTTTGGGATATTTGCAAGTTGAAGATATTCCAAAGTTTAGGAAATTAATAAGTTAAATATATTCCAAAGTTTAGGATATTTCCAAGTTAAAGATATTCCACAGTTTAGGATATTTCCAAGTTAAAGATATTCCACAGTTTAGGAAATTAATAAGTGAAATATATTCCAAAGTTTAGAATAAATTTAATTTTTGAATATTCCAAAGTTTAGGATATTTCCAAGTTGAAGATATTCCAAAATGTAGGAAATTAATAAGTTAAATATATTCCAAAGTTTAGGATATTTCCAAGTTGAAGATATTCCAAAGTTGAGGAAATTAATAAGTGAAATATATTCCAAAGTTTAGAATAAATTTAATTTTTGAATATTCCAAAGTTTAGAATACTCCAAAGTTTAAAATACTGAGCTTTTGGATATTTCAAAACATAGGATATTTACAAGTGGATAATATTCCAAAATTAAGGATATTTTCAAAAGTTATGCCAAAGTTTAGAAGATTATTAAGTTTTGGATATTACAAAGTTTAGAAAATTAATAAGTTTTAGATATTCCAAAGTTTAGAATAGTTTCAATTTTGTATTTTCCTAATATTTTTTTCCAAATTACTTTTATTTCAAATATTTATTCCAATTTTTTTTATTCTATCTAAAATTCAAGTTACTGACAATATTATTTACTATATAGTCTTTTTTATGGCGATATGAATTCAACGGAAAAAAATATATGAATTCATCGCTAAAAAGAAGTTTTTGCTTTTTTTGCTTTTATACCATGAAATTGACCATTTTTGGGTAAATTACATAATGTCATATTCAAAATACAGTTAGAAATTGTGCGTAAGTACACCATGAATGCAATTGCGGTTTATTGGATTATATAATTTACGGTTATGTAATTGGTAAATTTTAGACTCACATATATAATTATATTAACACTTTAATTAGATGTCCGTTTATTTATTTTGTAACAATCTGATAGAGAATTTTTTGGAAAATTTATTGGATATTAAAAAAAAAAATTTCTACTTAATTTTTTATGTTTGATTTCGAAATGTTTTTTTTACGATTAGTTTTTTTTTATTACGTCTCTCTCTCTCTTTTTTTAATTAATTGCATACTCTTGTAATAATTAAATAATGTTTAAAGCAATTGTATGATAAAATAGGATTTATAAGTAGTGCGGTTAATTGTTATTTTTGCACATAAAGTTTAACAACCTACTCCTATTCTCATTGGTTTATTGATTTTTAAATGCATAGTAAAATATTCATCGTCTGGATTTCTATAAGAGGAGTTATAAAATTTTCAATTTCATAATAATTCATTCATCATGATTCATTTTAATTTAGTAGTACTAATTTAATCATCTTAATTTTTTTTTGTTTTTTGATTTTATCATCGAAAATTTAAAGAACAGATATAGAAAGAATATTCTTAAAAGTTTAT